CAGAATATCCTGTCTTCATCACTGCATGAAATTTTAATAACTTTGGATCATGACTTTAGTTGAAAGTTGAGAGGACCTTTTTGTAAGACATATTTCACATTTGAAAACACTGAGAAGTGAAGGTAGAGTAACAGTGGAAATTGTCAATGTTTTTTTCGTCTTTTTATTAGCAATTTGTGACTATCAAATGAAATTCTTTTTTGTGTTACGTAGCGTGGGAGGGGTTGGGTTTTAGTTGGTTTTTTGTATTGTTAGGAAAATATTTGCAGTCTTGCTTGAGGATATTTGCAGTCTTGCTTTATCCTTCTGGGAAGAGATTCGACTTGCTTGTTCTTCTCACTTGACTCTTCACAGTGAAAAATTACTTATGTGTTCTTTTTAGCTGTATGAACAATTTCAGTAATTGAAAGGAATGGAAAAAAGAAATGTTGCAACCCACGCTTCACCTTAGTGCTTTTTCTTTTGCCCTACCTCTTGCATTTAGTTCTTATACAGTTTGACTACCCAGTTTAGTCTAGATGTTGAAAACAGAACAAATCCCTAGAGCGTCTTTCCCTTTGTGGCACATCAGAATGGCTATGTGCGGCTGTAGTTCCTGACCTCACATCATGATGAAGGCTCCAGAAGGTATCTGGGGATGTGCTATATCATAACAGAAGTAGAAGATCAGACAAGTACCTCCAGTTGCCCCCAAGAGGAAACTCCTCATTTTTCTTGTTTCTTCCTAGCTAATGGTTTTTGTTATCAAATCCATTACAGCAAGTGAAACAAATGTGAGACTCTCCCAGCTTCTGGTCTTCGGGGTTTCCAAGGCTAACATCTAGCCCTCAAAATCTTGATGCCAATGGGTAGAGTATGGGGGGGGAAATGAATACAGTGTTTAGAGGCATTTGCAGACTGCTTTTCTCTGAGGCAGCTAGCTGAAATAGCTTGTCAGTTTATCCACCTATGTTAAAATCACCTCTTTCAGAGAAAGCTCTAGTGTCTTCCTTCACGCCAGTAGCAGACCTTTCTTGAAGGACTCCCGAGAAACTTGTGTCCCAAGGAACCAATGAGTAGGTAACTGCTGTAACTATTGACTGGAAAGAGCAAAGATGCATTGGATGAATGAGTGGTTCCCTTGTGACACCCACCTCTCTGGGCTGGATAGGCGAGGCTGCAGACGCCCCGAGGGAACCGTTTGTCAGTATCCTAGGGTGTGACGGCTCGGCTCTTGAGGAAAAACTCGTTTTTCTTAGGCTGGTAGGTCATACTTCTGAAAGGAAAGCAGGGAAAAAAAAAAAACTATAAAGATTTTACTGGCCACACTTTTCAGTTGTTGTTGAACAAAGCTTTCCTCGTAATCCAGCGCTCTGCTGTAAAACAGAGGTGGGAAGACGAAGAGGGCAGCACTGACTTTCTTGGAGCTCTGTTGTTTGGCAGAGGGGTTATTAAGGGTCCTCTGTCATTGTCTGAGGTGTTTGTAGAGTATTGAAGGACAATGAACTTTTGCCCTTGGTGTGACTTCTCCAAAAAGCTCAGGTCAAATTAGATGTCTCTAAAATTTCATTTGATGACCGCTTGCTGGAGTACTCTCATTCTTCTATTGATTTTTGTGGGTATCTTGATAACCTTCAGCTGTCCTTCCAGTAATCATTTTAGCTTCTGTTTCTTCTTGAAAACATTCTAATGTAGGATTGTTTTCATCTAGAAAGCAGAGCAAGACCTCAGTGATTTTAGTCCATGCCTATCTGAAAATGGTTTCCTGATAGACCTCCAGCAAGCTGATTTCTAAACCGCCCACCAAATGACATGGGCACACCGGTCAGAACCAACAGGAGAGTATTTGTTTCAAGGAAAAAACAAGCTGCCTAAGTTACTCAAGTAGTTTGCTTCAGACACGAGTTTCATCTAAAATAATGATTTAACTAATGAGAATGGATCAGTGGTTTGTGAATAACATAGCTTGGGCCACCATTTATTCGAATAGGTTGACTTCTACAGAGCAAACAGGAACTTCTCATCTGTATCTATTTCTAAAAAGAACTCAGTGCTTCAGAAAGAGCGCGATGAATTTTATGACAGAAATATATTCCTCAATATTTTTGTTGCTGGCCAGACAAAGTGTGATAAAAGTAGTTGTAAAGTTATTTCAGTTAAACACATTTTTGATAACAAATGCAGCACCAGAATAATCAAATCCAACATTGCATACCAGCTGCTTAGGGATTTTTTTTCTTTATCCAGTAATTTATTACAAGACTAAAGAGTAATAAGTCATTGGGTTATTCCCCCCATAGGGTGGGCAATCATTTTTCCCTTCCCCGCTACTCGCTCTTGGCTGATGTCATCTCTTCCCTTATTCCTCTAATTCCTACTCATAAATACGTACAGAGTATTTTATAGCAATTTTCACCTATATTTTTGACTTTTAGGAGCTAAGAAGTTTGCTTCCTTAATTTTGTTTTGTGGGTATACAGTTATAAAAGTAGAGCTTTTGAAATTTTGTCTGCTTATTTCTGAATGTCTTTCTCTTTGAAGTGCTGATTGAATCTCTGCTGGTAATCTCTTTAACCCCTGAAAGAAGATTACCTTAACAGTGAAGTGGCTGGAGAGGGGAGAAGCAAGGGAGAGGCTGACTCTATTTCTCTGGAATGAATTCAGGTCTTCAATAAGGGCTTTTCTTGGCAGCACTCAAGTATAGCAATGGTAACTTCTTGCTGCTAACCACTGCTGAAGTGGGTGAGCATGTGTGGGTGACAGCAGTTACAATTGCAGCACAGAGTGGCCTTGTCACTGGCAAGGTGGCCTTGTCACTGGCAACACCATGGGCAGAACCCAGCAGTTTTACTGGAATTGGTAAATTGTTTCCCGTCTTCTTTTTTTTTTAATCTTGAAGTCTTATCAGCCTGTTACAAGTTAACCAAATGCCAGAAGTAAGGGAGGAAAAATATTTGTAAGGAGCACTTAATCGTACAAATGTCCATAGATTTCTCTTTTAATCTACTTCATTAACGTAAGTAGTGTGATGGACTTTTAAGTCGTGTGTGATGCTTACCTCTCAACCGAAGGCAGGGAATCAGGGCTATTAGCAGACACATTTTGGCAAAGGTGATTAGATTTGTATTCAGTGCTAGCAGAAAACTTTGGCTGTGTTTTTTTAAAGAAAATCGAAGAAATAGGCTTCAGAGTAAGGCAAGAATTCACACTAGACAGCCATGTGGCCAGAATAAAGTGGTTCAAATTACACCATTTATTTGCAGTGGTAGAGAAATTAAAAGGATGTTTTCGGGTGTTTGATTGACTTGTATTGTGAATTAATAACTGCCTTTTCTACTGTAGATTGTAAGGCTTCTTTTGTAAGGTATTTAGACACATGGTGTTCTTTACGCATGTGTTTGAGTCTTGTTCTGTTAACACTTCTGCAAAATTAGTAAGTTGGCAATAACAGTATCAGAAGTAAAAAAAAAAATGGATAAGGTGTGCTTTTGTGATGATTCATTATTCTGTGTAAAGTCACAATTTGTAAAAATTCAGTTATTTGACTTTGTTGCTGCTTGTTTCTGCACCAGTAATTGTATTACATTACAGCATTAGGGGCTCAATTGACAGGGTGAATATTCTTAATTTTATGAGCAGTAAATTTTGTATGGTGTTTCACCAGCTACAGACCTTCTTCTTTCCAGGAACTCTGATTCATGGTTCTTGAGGAAATTACAGTATCTTTAATGTTGTCATGGTTAGTTATACAGAGGGACTTAGTTTCTCTCAGTGTGACTATATTAAGGCAGCATTTGTTTAGTAAAATTTACTTTGTTGTGTATTTCTGTGTCTAATAGTTAAAAGGTAAGAGAAAATTTAAAAGGAAAGAAATAGTTAGACACACAATGGGAAACTGTTTCCCTAATTATTGGTAAGAATACATTAAACTTGTTATCAAACGATGTATTTTTAATGCCTTCAGACTGCTGCCATTTATATTTTTCTAACAGATTCATTAGAGAATGTGGAGCAGTTGACTTCCTATTTTTGTGGAGGTTTCTCCTCTTGAGGTTAAAGTAGATCTTTACTTTTTTTCCCAAGAATATAGGAATTTTCATCCCAGGCTAGTGCTGCACCTAATAGAGACTCCTGTTTTCTTCCTGATTTGTTTCCTAGCTGGGATGAGCCAGCAGGTGCCTGCTGTCAGTTGTCACCACCTGATAAATGGCAGGTGGTGACTTCTTAAGACGCAGTCACTTTGATTGTTGGCGACACGTCTCCTCTCCGATTACCTCCATCGGCAGGCAATAGGTGTCCGCCGAGGAAATAGCTCTGGCACAGGCTGCCTGTAGTGGGAGCTGGTGGCAATCTTGGGCTGTCATGTCTATAAATTGTCACCTCTCTGGGTGCAGTTCCGTTTCTGAACTACTACAGACATTATAATTACTAAATTTTTTTATAATTCTAGATAGAGTCTAGAGTTTAACCTTGTCCTGTGGCCATGAATATCCCAGGCTTGTTTGTGAGTTGTATTTTGGGGGGCTGACAAACGACAAAAACTTCTCCGCAACTTTAAATCGTTTTCTTCAGAAAATTGCTTTGGATTTGCTTCACATAATTGGCTCTGGTTTTGTCACATCTGTCTCCTCTTCCACTCTGCTATAGAAGTCTTCAGCGTCTTTTAGTCGTCTGTTGCCTGATTCCCTCCTTTCTTTTTTTTTCCTTCTTTTTTGTTTTTTACAATTTACAGTCCACCAAGGAACTGGGATGAAGGATAATCCAAATGTGCTCTTAGTATGTGTTGTTGTAAGGGAAAATGATGTCTTCTCTAGTCTGGGAATGACTTAGATTTTATTCCAGAGCACTTTTACATCAGACTTTATAAACTATACATAGGAGCAGTTGCTGAGGGTTGTTTCTGTTTTTTTAACCAGTAATAAATCAGCATTTTCAGTAACTTTTGGGGAATCTTCTATGTTAACTATCAAAAGACCACAATATGGAGATGAACTTACTTTTTCCTCTCCTCCTCACAGAAGCAACCATGGGGTGCATTAAAAGCAAAGAAGATAAAGGTCCATCCATGAAATATAGAACTGATAATACTCCAGAACCTGTTATTTCCCATGTCAGCCATTATGGGTCAGACTCCAGCCAAGCAACACAGTCGCCATCAATAAAGGGATCAGCAGTTAATTTTAATAGTCATTCCATGACTCCTTTTGGAGGGCCTTCAGGAATGACACCCTTTGGAGGAGCATCGTCTTCATTTTCAGCTGTGCCAAGTCCATATCCTAGTACTTTAACAGGTGAGTGTTACACAAAATGATGTTGTTGTTGTTGTTAATATTATTATTATTATAGCCTGACAGTCATATTCAAAAAAGTAGTATGACCCCTTGCCACACAGAAATAAATTGCAAATTTAAAATAGATTGCCTGTTAGGGTTTTCTGATTTTTCAGTACCTTTACTGCTCAGATAAGAATTCAGCCCGTATTCATTAGTGACTGGGGCTTGGGGGTTGGGTGTTTTGGGATTCGGTTTGGGAAGGCAGGTCTAGGATCACAGCACAGAGAAATTTAAGACTTATTAATGGCAGTAATGGGAATAGTTGATGACATTGTGTTACAAGTTCTAAGCTGTTGAAGGGATGCACATGGCATAATGGCTTTAAACTTTTGGAGAGATGTGCAAAATGAAAAACACTTCAAATTCAGGAAATTGATATTTTAAACTGATTCTCAGACTTACTTGATCAGCTGTAAGTTATACTAACGCAACATTGAATCTGTTCATTTTTGAAGCTAAACAAGATATGCAGTACATTCAGTATACTTTACTATATGAACTATATGTGTGAAATGAAAGAGCAGAATTCTCATTGTTGGTGGTCATATTAAAACCAAAGTTGAAAATGTAAAAAAAGAATTTACAAGGTGCAGAGACCTGCATGGCTGAGATATAGTCTCTCAAGATGCAGCATTTTAAAGCAAGATGCATATTTGATTTTACAAACCCACCTTTATATCAGAATCTTAAAAATTCCTTACAAAAAACATTGATTTTTGTGGGCATGGTGAATCTCAGTATTTCACTTAGTTTTGGTGGATGTTTTTGAGAGGAATCTGTAATTTCTTTTTTTGAGAGAGTGGAAAGAGTAATTTGCTCTAGAAGCCTTGCACAGATGCTTCACAAAACATGGTAGATAATTTCTTATTAGTCTATTTTTAGTTTTCCTACAAACCTCTAATGTTAGCACAATTATAGTGCTTAAATGTTTGCTTCATTACAGTGGCATTTAAAATCTTTTAAACACAAGAAATTTGAGATCCATGAAAACCCACCGCGACCTTGACATTAAACAATTCAGGAAACCAAATATGAATTGTCAGGTAATGATCACTTCGTATTCCCTCTTTTGGGAATTCATTAAAAACCAAATAATTAAAATGAGCATCTATCCTGTCTCAAAATTTTTGAGCCAGCTCTGAATCCCCATCTTAGATGAACATATGCAGAAATGAAATGAGGGCAGCATTTTTTTTTACTTGTTAGCTCCACCGAGGAAAGTTTATCATGCTTCACCTCCTCCAAAAACCTCTGTGTATTACGTTCTACTAGATCTGGTGCTTTGTTCACGTGGGAATCTCTGTCAGTGCTTGCAGGCCCTTCTGGGTATTACTGGACATCAGGGATGTAACCCCCACCCAGGTACCACAAATCCTTGGCTGCAGAGACCAGAAGGGATGTTCTCCCCTGTTCCTGCTGGTAGTTAAGCTTGTTATATCTGGACCAGAGTCAACATGAGAGATTTCTTATTAAAAGAGAGTCTAATATCTCATCAGTGTGAATTCAGTTATCAGCAGGCAGGCTAATTTGGGTGAACACCCCTATCTGTTTGTGATCAGGTAAAATGATACTGCATATGTAATTATTCCTCCTCATTTTGTAGAACCAGCCCATCCACAAACACACACATGAATTTTTAAAAAATTGCACCAGCATTTGTTTGGTACGTTCAGTACCAATTTTTGTATCAATCAAAATTGGGTGTTTTTGTGAATGAATACGATGACGAACTTTGTCTGGCTGTAAACTTTCTGTATTTGTGATGAACAAAACACTGGATTGCGTTCTGTGGCCCTTTGTTTAGCAAGAGAAGAGAACAGATGGGCTTGTCAAACAGGATGTAAGTGTCAGTAGTACTTATCCAGTCCATCAGTGATGTCTGACAGGAGGATGATATGGTTGTCATTGTGGCCTGTAGTGTGGCTGAAAAGAGTTGAGCTACCTTTTATTCCTCTAGAGCAGAAAAGGAGAAGAAATTTGAGTTAGTCACACTGCTCCTGTATGACACATTCTCAGTCATCAGATAGTTTGAATTCATGGAATGTTACTGAAAATCAAAACAGAAAAATGGGACACTGTTCTTGCCTTCCATGAAGCTATGTAAGCACTAATGCTCTGTAGTCCTCATGCTGAACAAAAAAGTGAAGTCTTCTCTCTGAAATGAGTCCTAGATTAGAGCATGGGAATAATGACCTAACGGAAGGATAACCTGTAAGGGAAATGTTATGACCACAGATAGCTTGAACAGCTAAACTAGGTCACCTTGCAGTGGTTCACAAGAAAACAGCTGCAAGCGACTTCAAAAATCATTTCAGCGGTGTCTGTTTCTTTAAAACATTCTGTGCTGATGCTGCTCTCCTGAGTATATTATTGTTCTTTGCTATGAAATAAATAACACTTGTTACTGAGAAGAAAAAAAGTTGTCATGGTAACTGCAGTGTTGAAATCAAAACTTTCCAAGGATTATATGTTAGCTTTTCCGTTAATTAAGAGTACACAAATATTGATAATTACTGAAAATTCTTTTGTTGCATGTTTTACATTTAAATCCATTACTTTGACTTGTGCTACACTGTCCTACACTGTCCAGAGGAATTAATCTCTCGCTTGTTCCCACATTAGTATCTTTCTAGATGTTGTGCAGTTTGTTTCGAAGTTCTTGGAGTCTCCCCGTTTGTTTGTATGCAGTTAAAAACTTGTAATATTGTGACCTGAGGGTCTTGATTTTCTTCATCTGCTAAAGAACTCTCTGGGGATGGTTTATTTCTGTAACATTTGGTTTCTGTTTGTGTGACTATGGTATGTATCCCCACAATTTTCTTGCTCTGTGTAGCACTTTGTGTCATCAAAATGATGCAGTAACATAGTAATGCAGGCAAAAATTGGTAGAACTGTGCTGATTTTTAACTTGGATTAGGAACTGTTAACTACTAGGGATTATTCTAATGCATTTTCAGTTCATAAATCACACTTCAAAAAAAACCCCTCAATTACTCTAACCCCCTGTGGGGATTTTTTGTTCTGTTTTTCATAGAGGAACTGTAAATTCATTTCCAGCTGAGGCCTGCTGAGATGGTGTAATCACAGGAAGACTCCAAATTATAATATTTGAGTGATTAGGAGCTCTTACTTCAGAAAGTGTACATTGTAAAAGAGTACTAGATGTAGACAATACCCATTGCATTATGTATTCTTTCTGATTACTGTCATGTTAATTATAACATCTAAAATTAGATGCAACGTGTTTCTGCTGCTGGTCTTCCATGTATATCCTAGTACATATATGCATGTTAGAGATGTAAAATTATAGTTTTAAAAATAAGTTGTTACTTGGTCTATCATTAGGCTTCCTTAATATCCATTAGACTGTGAAATAGCATTTCTAGAGCTTCAAAAGTCTTTCTGAATTGCCTATCTGCAGTTTTCTATTTTAACTTTCTTCTAGTTACAATACAGAGTTCTTTTATTTTTGCTTGTAGGTTTTACATCTCATATAGCCCATTCTCCTTTCCCTCTTTTTCTTTTAGCCCAGTTTTACAGTTAGTTAATGTTTTCCTAGCGTAAGTATAGGAGCCTTCCTAGCATCCATCTCTCACACGTGTATCCTGTTTGTGGGACACGTTCAGCAACATGCCATGTACCAGAAGTGGGATGGGGAAACAAATTCCTTAAGGTTGGTGGAGTGTAGCTGTCGTCCCATGATGTGTCTTGGTCCTTGTTCTCTAGAGCAATGCACTGATGGATCATCCTCGGCAAGGCTCTGCTTCCCTGGTGGGGAGACTTGATGGAGTTAAAAAAAATCAGTAGTCCTAAAGCAGAGAAACATCTTTGTCCTCAACAGAATACTTTTTATTTCTGGTTCAATTCTTTAAATAGATTTTGGTGTGTAACCCCAGAAAGTTGGGAACATATCAGTTACTTGTAGCTAAGTTCAACAGGAAACTACTTCTGTAAGAATTAGTGGCTGATGGTTCACTGTTGTGGTGTTGTAGGTCCTTCTGGAATTGCTTTTCTTAACAAGAAGCTAGCTTAATAAAGAAGCTAGGTTTTTTTACTGCTGGTGTGTTGTGCAGGTTTCTGTATATAGGTGCTATAATTATTAATGTACTTCCAGTGATGTATCTAGCTGCCATTTGTGGTGTGGAAGTATATTTTTAGGGTGTCTGTTTATAGGCTTTCCTCTGTCTTAAGAAATGAGCTGATTATTGATCCAGCTTCCAAAATGAGATGCAACCCAGAATGCTTCCAAATGAAAATTGGTGAGTTGTTTCATGGATGAGCCCTTAAATCAAATGTTGCAGTGTTACTGCTATATCATATGTTGGGTTTTTTTTTCCTTTTTCCTAAGGTGGTGTTACTGTATTTGTGGCCTTATATGATTATGAAGCTAGAACTACAGATGACCTTTCATTTAAGAAAGGTGAACGGTTCCAGATAATAAATAACACGTAAGTGTTCTCATTCACAGACTTCACTTCTTGTTGTTTGGCATAAATAGATTCTCAGTTCTTCTTGAAATCCGCAAGTCCTGTTTCAGTGAAGAGTAGATGCAGTATTTGGGTTTTTTTCTTGAACAAGAGAGTTCAGCAAGCATGGGGTTAAAATACTGATGCTAGTAAGACATAACTTTGGGGCTGAGGTCGTGTTTGGGCGCAGATGCAGGACTGTAGTGGCCGGGGCAGCCCCAAGCCACCTTCTCCTCAGCTGGTTGGGTGGCATCCATCCTCTCCCTGCGACAGCAAGCCGCAGCTGGAGACACAGGCTGTCCCAACCCACCTCAGGCTCTGCACCTTCCAGGTTCTCCCTGACGGCTTTCCATCTCTGGCAGGGATGTGGGCGCAGCTGGCAGCATTGCACCACGAGTGCTGGAGGCCAGCGCCCTGGCTGTCGGCAGGCACTCTGGCTGTGGAAGTGCATCTGGCTGGCCTCCACCGTAAATCCATGCTCAGATAGCTTAGGAGTAGTTTGATGTTCTAGTTTAACTGCAGCAGTATTACAGTGTTACGGCCTGATTTCTAGAAGTCTAGTGAAAAGGAAATTATTTGTTCACCTTGGAGATTTCTTTACACACAGCTTTTGACTGTGGTAATTGTTCTATTTCGTATATGTAACAGTTTTAATTTATCCAGTTCTCTAATTTTATTGGCTGACTTCCTGCCTCCTTTGTCGCTCACTGTCAGCACACAGACAGAATGATCTGGGAGAGGCAGATGAAGACTACAGAATTGGGAACTTTATTTACATATATCTGTCATAAAAGATTTTGTGCAGGTTTGCATTTTTCATATATAGATAAATTCCTTTTACATTAAAAAAAAACAAACCAAAATAAACATTTAAAATACAAAATTCCACTAAGAGGCACTCCTGTTGCTTACAATGAAAAGAAAAATGTATTTAGGTGCAGCGCAAACTGTTTTAGATGCCTTTGTAATTAAAATAACATGTTACCTAAATTTAACGTACCTTTCATATATGAGGATGTTATAGCTGCTATAGAATGATGCATTGTTTATATGCGGAAGAGATAACTGATGTTGCATTGCAGAGAAGGAGACTGGTGGGAAGCAAGATCCATTGCTACGGGAAAAACTGGCTACATCCCCAGCAATTACGTAGCTCCTGCAGACTCCATTCAAGCGGAAGAGTAAGACATTGTCTCCTGTCAATGTGTTCTTATTATCCATTCTACACTCTGTGCTCTGTGGTGATACCATTCCTTTAATTCAATAGCATGTAAGGGTAAAGTAGGATAGTACAACTAATTAAAGGGTAGCAATGCTACATGGGCTATGTCAAAGGTATAGTTATTAGTAAGTGTGAGGTGGACACTCATGAAAATGTTTTATGCCTGCTTGCTATATGGAGTGCTAAAGGAAAAAGGATGGGATAATGCAATAATGATGGTAAGAATTGGGGGACATGCGTTGTATTTCATATAAACCAAAAATGGATGGCTTTTAGTTATAAGAGTTCACACACCATCAGCTCTAGGGTTTTATCCTTATTTTGCCAATAATTGCTAATTCAAGATGAGCTATATCCTTGGTAGCACCTAATCTTACATTCTGAAAAAAAATATCTGTGTGGAGAGTTACTGCTAATCTGTTAATCTATAATGACTTTTCTGGTGACAAAATTGTTAGGCATACTAAGGCCTACTATGAATTGGGAAAATTTTGTTGCTTTCGGTACCAGTATTTCCTCCATTTATTTACAAAGATCCCACAGCACTTACAGAATCATGTGTAGCTGTTGCGGGAACTGTGAGCTGGGGTACAGTTTCAGGTGACACTTGTTCCAAGGGATTAATTGTATTTGTTGTACTAGAAATACAAAGTGCCGCAGCTCTTGCTTCAGTCTACAGGCCTGGTACTGCCAGTAAGCAATTCCCTGATACGTGATCTGCACATTTGTGTTTGCTACTGCACTGCTGAGAAAGTGCCTGATTTCCAAGATGTTTCCTGAATCTCAAGCTGAGACTTCAGCATGTTGCTGCTGCTCTCACCTGGCTCTTAGCTATTAAAAAGTGATTGCATCAAAGATGCACTGTTGTTTTATGCCCTGGAGTTTCAGTGGCTTTTATGATTACTGACTTCAGATTTTTTGAGAAAAAGTTGAGGTTGTTTTTTTTAAACTATGCAATAAAAGCATATCATGGTTACAGCTGCAGTGGTGGCAAAATGGAAATGATAGCCCTTTGCAAACTAAGAATGCAGTGTTTCTGCAAAGAAAGTATTGCTCCTAAAGACTAGCAAAATGAGGTGGTGAGATTTGTCATAGGTTTATGTGATGACTGGAGGTGAGAGTGAGGAAGCTTTTTTAAACTGATTGTTTTAAAGAACTAGTGCTAATTTTCTTAAATATCACCACAGCATTTGGAATAGAGTTCATTTGCTTTAGAGTTCATTTGTTAGCCCTGGGCTTTGACAGTGTTTATAAGTTTTGTGTTGTGATTGCAGTTGGAGTTTCAATTGCAAAAGCAATCCACAGCCCCAAATTGCTAGGATTTTCTTTAAGTGGTGTTTTCTAAGCCTGAAGGCATTTATATCACAAACTGCTTCTGATGGGATCCGTATTACCCATGTGCCTTTTGAATAATACCATAATACAAACCTTTAATACTCATAAAAAGAACACATAAACCCTACTATGATTTTATAGGTAATGAAATAAAATAACACTTTACAAGATAGCTTGTAAATTGTTGTAGTAGTCTGGGGAAGAGGCATTTTCATGTGAAGTAATTAACTAGAGTTCAAGGTTGCTTCAGTAGATCATAGATCAATCCAAATTGTCTCAAGTGTATGTACTCTCATATCCAATTCTAACTTTGCACATCTACTTAAACAGTTAAACTGCAAATATAATAAAAATTAAGAATAAGTCTCAAATTTCCGAGTGACTGCACAGGCCATTCCCTTCACAGTCCAACAAAATGACCCCTTCTCACCTACATTTTCCCCCCACAAAATGCTTCACCTACAAAACCATTGTTTCACAGCAGTTTCCAATACTACTTTTCTTCTCCAAGCACTCATGAAGTCAGATTTGCGTGATGCTGTGACGGAGCCAAATGAAAATATTTGAAATTTGCACTTTGCATCACTTTGTGACTTCTGAAGCACACAATCAAAATAAAATGTAGTTAGAAATAAATGTTATTCCAAAGTCTGGAGATTCACTGGGCGATGGACTTAAAAATTATCACTGACTCAGGACAGAGCTGTGTGCAGGCTGTTCATCAGGATGACCTCACTGTGGGAGCATAAAAAAAGAAATTCCCTTTGTGAAAGAACTTAAGGCAAGAAAAAAAACAGGTGTTTTAAAGCAGCTGTGTACTTTTTGGTATCAGAATGATGCAATAAAGATGGAGTGTTACTTGTAGTGAAGTAAATGACACCTACCACAGGGTTGTTTCTAAATGATCAGTGGAAAAAAGTGCTCCCTCTACTGAGGCAGAGAAGGATGGGAGGCAATAGAAGCTGAAACAAGGGAGGTTCCAGCTGGAGATAGGAAGAAACCTCTTTATCCGGAGGACAGCCAGGCAGGGGCACAGGTTGCACAGGTTGACTGTGCAGGGTCCATCCTTCAAGGTCTTCAAGACTGGAGCGGACAACGCCCTGAGCAACCAGGTCTGATCTCACAGCTGACCCTGCTCGCAGCTAGAGGCTGGACCAGAAACCTCCCAAGGGCTCCTTCCAACCTGAATGAACCTGTGATCCGATGGTATTTATGCAGACCCACTTTGCATTAAATATCATTTTCTAACATATAGCCGAAACTTCTTAAGGAAGGTCGTTTCAGCTCCTGCAGTGTTCTGAGTGTGCTACCAAAGTGTGTCATCTGATTCAGCCTGATCTGTGAACTTCTTAACCAGAAGGAGGGTGTAACTTTCAGTCTTAAGTACTGTTGATGTCCATTGTTAAATCATCAGTATTTGTACATAACAAAACATTGTATTTGTGGATAGAGGCCTCTTTTCATGTATTTTGCAAACAATAGGAATGACAGTCATATAGGAATAAGTCATCTTAATCTTTTGATTATATGGATGTCATTACTTTGGTGGATCTGTAACTGCTTTGGGATATTAGTAGTCCAGTCAATGCTTGAAATCTCTAAATCCTGTATTTATATAATTACCAAAGCATAGGAAGCTTTTTACTTACACATATTTCCTCTAACATTTTCTAGGTGGTATTTTGGTAAGATGGGCAGGAAGGATGCAGAAAGGCTACTTTTAAATCCTGGGAACCAGCGTGGTATTTTCTTAGTAAGAGAGAGTGAAACCACTAAAGGTATGTATATTTATGTATGTATCTTCTCTCTCCCATTCCCTACCCCCTGCCAAGGTGGACATAATGAGCCTTGTTATGTCTATCACATTTTACATATGTGTGTGCACACATGTATGTGTATAATGACAGTGGAGGAGATATGTTAAATGTGTTTTTAAATTTCTGGTGAAGAACCAAGTATGACTTGATTCCTAGGTGCTTACTCCCTTTCCATACGTGACTGGGATGAGGTCAGAGGTGATAATGTGAAACACTACAAAATCAGAAAACTTGACAATGGTGGATACTATATCACAACCAGAGCACAATTTGAGTCCCTACAGAAGTTGGTGAAACACTACAGAGGTAAGCCCAAGCTCTACTGTCCTGATGCTACCTTGTGCCTATCGCGAGGAAGGAAAACTGCATGTAGCTTATTTTTAAAATTCACAATTATAAAATTTATTTTTTATGTCAACAAATAATAAATGGACTAGTTCTTTTTACCAACATTAGGATGTTACTTTTCTTATAGTCTCACCCCTGCTTAATGACAAAGCTTATTTTTTCCATTTTTCAGAACATGCCGATGGGCTGTGTCATAAGCTAACAACTGTGTGTCCCACTGTGAAACCACAAACACAGGGACTTGCAAAAGATGCCTGGGAAATTCCAAGAGAGTCTTTGAGGCTGGAAGTTAAGTTGGGCCAAGGATGTTTTGGTGAAGTGTGGATGGGTAAGAGCTTAATGTGACGCCTTTCAGTTGTTCTGGTGAATGTTTTAATAGTATTTTCAGTACATCGGTGTTGGGATCCGAAAAGGTAATCCGATAAGGAATTCAAGAGGAAGAGTACCAATTGTGATCAGTCCCATAAAGGTAAAAATAGTATTCCATATAGTTCTAATTTAGAATTATACTGTTAGCCAACAAAACAGAAGCAAAAAGCAAACAGTTTCAGCAGAAAATCTCTTTGATATTATAGGGGAGAATAAAATCTGATTTGTTTCTTTAGGAACATGGAATGGAACCACAAAAGTAGCAATCAAGACACTAAAACCTGGTACAATGATGCCAGAAGCTTTCCTGCAGGAGGCTCAGATCATGAAGAAATTACGACATGACAAGCTTGTTCCACTATATGCCGTTGTTTCTGAGGAACCAATCTACATCGTCACTGAATTCATGACAAAAGGTGTGTGACAGAACAGTCTGAAGATACTACGTTTAAAAGATTATTTAAGATCCCAGCAGCAAATTAGATGTTTAATTAATGTTAGGTTTAAACTGACTGAAGTGGTAATTTTGACTAAATTAAAATGAGCAATGCTTGACCTACTTGAAGCAGTTCTGATTTAGATTGTGGGTGGAGGCATGATTTTTTTGCACATCTGTGTCACCCTTGCTAATCTTCCAAGTACAAGATTGCGTTTTTTCCTCCTCATTTTTTAGTGTGTGCTGCCTGTTACATTTAAATTGGGTGGTATAGCTGAGAATATTATTATGAGAATACGGCTGCCTGTAGACAGATCGTGCTCACAGCGACAGAATCAGTTGGGTTTGGATGGGGTTTTTTTTTTAATTTTTGTTTTCCAGCAGTGTAATTGTAAATTTTAAAAAGGTTGCGGTTTTTTTCCCAGACTCCCTCCTTCATCTCCTTGTTTTCAGTCTTTCATCCTTCTTCCCTTGCTTTGTATCATTTCCCCCTCCCCATGCTGCTGAAACAGAGATTTAGAGATTTAGGCTGAATATAGAAATAAACATCATAAGCATATTAGTGTTAAGAAGCAGCAGATTTTCAAGTCAATTATTCCAGTTTTATAAAATGCAAACTTCTATTCACCTCACAGAGAAATTCTGCTATTCTGGTAAGAAATAGAGACAATGATAAAGTCCAAGAGAGTGGCTGCTTGTGCTCAGTATTCTGCCACAAATATGTCGGGGGTTTTTTTTCGTGTTTGGATGGGGCTTTTAAGCATTGTTTAAGTTTGACAAGGTAGAGAGGAATAGAAAATATAAAAAAAATTCCTTCTGTGGTGGTGGTGTTCCTAAATAACGCTAGACAGTCTCTCTGACAGATCTTAAAGATGAAAACAGTGTTTTTGTTGCTCAGAAATCAGGTTTTGGCAAGACAATAGGGATAAAAGAAATGCTTTATAGCATTCTGCCTAAAGAAAAAAGAGTAAAGATTAAAACTGAAGCTGGGATGTTACCTTGCCAAAGCAGAAGTAAAGAATTGAAAAAGTATTTGCATATTTGTCTAAGTTATGGATTCAGAATGCCATTGGACGGCCTCTGTTTTCATTTGAAAAACTTCTCAAATTGTACCAAAAAACATAAAACCCCTTTGGTGGCTCATATTTTAAAGTCAGTAGAACAAGGTTGTTTTCTTTTTTTTTTTTTTTTCTCCTTTTGCAAGAAAAAGAGGTGGGTAAGAACTACACAGTACCCAACATTTTTTTCCAATGTGGACAGGTTGCTAGAGGTCAGTGTGAAATCTTTGCTCCTTTTCAGTCTTTGAGCTCATGAACCGGGATGGGAAAAAGTCCGTGCAAACACACACAACAAACATCAGCAGCAGTGTGGGCCTGGCCTGCCACACTTTTAATGCAAAAATACAGCAAGTGACTAAAACCACATCGAAGGTATCCAATTCACGGCTACAGCCATGAATCCACTGCAAAATCTGCAGTTCAATGGTTTTTTTCCCCACCTTTGCCACACTTGTAATTTTGTCATTGTAATTTTGACTGTGATGGGACTGATTAGTTATCAGTCTTCACCAGTTTCTTAAGGAAGAGACCTTGTTCCTGTACCCTTATGGCATAATAACACCTGTAGAGAGAGCTGTTATGTATGTTAAGCTGTTATGTATGAAAGCTGTTATGCTGTTATAAGATGGTTGGGGCTGTTCAGCCTGGAGAAGAGAAGGCTCCGAGGTGACCTTATAGCAGCCTTCCAGTACCTGAAGGGGGCCTACAGGAAGGATGGAGAGGGACTTTTCACAAGGGTATGTAGTGATAGGACAAGAGGGAACAGCTGTAAACTAAAAGAGGGCAGATTTAGATTGGGTATTAGGAAGAAATTCTTCACCATGAGGGTGGTGAAACACTGGAACAGGTTGCCCAGAGGAGCTGTGGCTGCCCCCTCCCTGGCAGTGTTCAAGGCCAGGTTGGATGGAGCTCTGAGCAACCTGGTCTAGTGGAAGATGTCCCTGCTTATGGCAGAGGGGTTGGAACCAGATGATCTTCAAGGTCCCTTCCAACCCAAACCATTCTATGATTCTGTGTCTGAGATAAAGTTTTGCTACTTGTGGAAAGATCATTGTCTTGAAAGGAGCACAGGTCCTTGGAAATTATTTCAACTAATACTCATGTTGTAATGTTCTGTACACAACTGCATTATATAAATGGGGAAGATAATACATCATCAAGAATGGACGATACTTTTGTTTTGCCTTGTAAGGAAGAAAAAGCAACAAAATAAAAGCAACAATTTGAGAATAATTTCTCTACTATATAAGTAGAGAAAAAGAGAGAGCTGGCAGAAAAATTTAAGTAATGGATAGGAGCTTTTTTGTTCTTTAATTTTAAATCTCACTGTGAGGGGACAAAAGTCCAATTAGGAAGGGCATTGATACCAGGAATATTGGGAAAAATTGTTATGTATTGCCATATAATCAGCAAGCAACAGTCTGTTTTATTACTGTTGAGTTATCTGAATTACAGAAACAGATTGCAAAATACTTGGATAAAACTTGCACTAACTAGCTATCATGGCAGACTGAACTACAGGCATAGTCATTGAGTCATGTATTGTGTTAAATGACAGATTTTCAAACACAGATTTTGGGAGATGAATGTATAAATCATAATGTATAGGAAAAAACATCTAATTCATGTTTTCAGGTCAAACTAATGTTTTGGTTTTTTCTTTCCCCCCACCCCTCCACACCCCCCCCAAAATGTTTCCTCTTTTACAGGCAGCTTGCTAGACTTCCTGAAAGAAGGAGAAGGGAAATACTTAAAACTCCCACAGCTGGTCGACATGGCTGCTCAGGTACGTTGTATAAACCAAGAAAACTGTATTTTGTGTTTAGAGAAGAGATTGCATTATGAGATTAGAGATGTTCTGTCTTAAATCTTCTGTTGTAGGTTTGTAATTTGCCAGAAAGAGAGAGTCTGGTTCCCAATTAGCAGATACTGTGTAGCCAGACACACTGTAATCAGTGCTGTCACAATATACTTACACAATGAGAATGGAGCTAAAATAAGGGGGTGCAGCTTAATGCTTGGGAGAAATATACAGAGTCATGAAAAATAATCATTAATAAAACTTTATTTTTAAGATTGCTGATGGCATGGCTTACATTGAAAGAATGAACTACATCCACAGGGATCTCCGGGCTGCTAACATTCTTGTAGGAGACAATCTCGTGTGCAAAATAGCAGACTTTGGTTTAGCAAGGTTAATAGAGGACAATGAGTACACTGCAAGACAAGGTAAGACCGATTTATTTACTGAATAAATAAGATCAGTTACCTTCAAATTACTTAGAACTATTACATTTAGAAGAATGTGTCTGTGTATTCTATCTGTATGAATAAGGATTACGCATGTAAGTGTGCTTTCACAGCTATGTTTAGGTGTCCTCCTCTCCTAACTGCAATTTTAGTAAACTTTTTAATGTTCAAAATTATCTGGAAGTTTGTTTGTGTTTTCAAAAAACGTTTTTAGGGGTTTTTTTCAAATAAAACTTGCTACAGTCTGGAGAGAGCTGAAATTCCAGAGAAGTTGGTCCTCACATTCTGAAGATCATCCCACTTCTTGAAACTTCTTGAAACATCCTAGATGTCTGAAGTGCTTCCAAAAATTGTAGCCAGTCATTGCTACTTCCTAGTTTGAAACTGCTTTCCAGTTTGAAATACTAAAATACTAAGCCACCTTGAATTTTGTCAACAAAGCAAAATGTAAAAAAATTTTTGAGTGCAGTATTCTTTATAAAATATTTCAAAGTGTAAGCAAATTATGCATAATCAAGGGAAAACTGAGTATCTGCCTTTCCAATGTTTGTAGGAGCTAAATTTCCAATTAAATGGACCGCTCCGGAAGCAGCATTGTATGGTCGGTTTACAATCAAGTCAGATGTGTGGTCATTTGGAATTTTACTGACAGAGCTGGTAACAAAGGGGAGAGTGCCATATCCAGGTAAGAGGAAAATTTAATAGATTTTTCTTTGCTTTGTTGCACCCTGTGCTTCTGAAGTTACGTTTTGTACTTTTTGTCTTCCTTCAGAGCCCACAGTTGACAGGCAGAGACAAAATCTTAGTTGTGCTTCACTGGTTCCTTTGTTCACAAAGTTACTTTGTTTTATTTACAGATTAACTATTATATATTTTTGAAAGCGTTCTAAGATAATAGCATTTGTAAATGTAACTGATAGTTCATTTCAGATTAGTGGGTATCCTTATGTTTTCATATCTGTCTGTTCCTGAATTTTCTACTTTTGACATTTTCCCAGGCTACAGTGAACAGCGGTAGAGTGAACCTGCTAGACCAGTTTTTGAAACTAAACATGTGTAACATATTTTGTCAGATATTTTGCTGTGACTGGAATTTATAAGGCAGTTCTGTTAGGTACAAAATGCCTTCTTCTTGGCCCAATTTCGAATGAAGTGGTCCTTGAATAGAACCCGAGGCAGGCAGAATGTATTTCTGCTTGAGTCTCCTTTTTGAAAGGACAGGGCCAAAGCAATGGGAAGGTATACAATGAGAAAGTATACAAATGGAAGAAGGGCCAGGTATCAAGGAATTACCAGCATAATGAAATAATTTTCAGAAAATTTATTTAGTGCAAAATGTAAAGAATTCATTCATTATAAAGTGCGTTCATTAACGGTTCTGTTGTGGTAGATTCACATGCATTGCGGCTGGAGAGACACTTGAAAAACTCTGGGAAGCTGTTCTTTGCATGATGTCATTCAGAGCTAACGTGCTTTCCTTTTAGGGATGGTGAATCGGGAAGTTCTGGAACAAGTGGAGCGTGGATACAGGATGCCTTGCCCACAAGGCTGCCCAGAGTCTCTCCATGAATTAATGAAACTGTGTTGGAAGAAGGACCCTGATGAGAGACCAACATTTGAATATATACAGTCTTTCTTGGAGGACTACTTTACTGCTACAGAACCACAGTACCAGCCTGGAGACAATTTATAAGCCAACAGTCTGTATAACATGCACAAATCTGCCAAATGTAAAAGACTTGCAAAGAATTCCTGACATCTATAAGGAGTCAAAGGAAAGAAAATCTTCGCTACTTTGCATGCTCTTAATGGCAAACTGGAATTTCATAATGCAGTTGCACAAAACCACTTTTAAAGTGTTATAATCTAATTTACCAATGACATATTTTTATTTTTTTCCTCTTTCCCAACTTATTTTCAGGGTCCAAAGGAAGCTTACTGAAAATACGGAGTAGAAAAATAAGTGTTGGTGTGAACAATAGCAGAGAAAACAATGTTTCAAATCCTTTCTTTTCCCAACATTGGATAATCATTCTACTAAAGAGGGAACTGTCTGGAACTGGTGATCTTGTGATAAGACATTTTGAAAGCAGAACTTTATGGGACCAAGCAGTTCTATTGCAGTTCTGTAAAACTCCCTGTGTTCAAAATTACATGTGTGTGCCCCCCACCCCCCAAAAAAGAGATGGTACAACTGTGTTTGGTATATAGCCTTGATCTTTAAGCTTCCTCTTGCATGGACTTAGAGTAGGCAGGTTAAAAGAGAAATTGGAACAGTGAATGACAAACTCTATCTAAACGGTAGACCTCAATAGTGAAATTAGAGAGCATAATGCACTGTGTTAACACTTGTATTAATGTAACTGGAAAGCAGCATGAGAGATTTTTCTTTTTTTCTTTCTGCATAGCTAATTAAGAATAATGAAGGTAACTAGAAAATGAGGTAATATTTTATAACATTGTGTTGATAAAGTATGATGATATTTGAACTTGAAGCTATGTAATACAATCGGGGGAGGGAAGCCTTTAATCTTTTAAGCTCCAATCCAACAGCGAGCTTTTTTGTGGGAAGGCTGCCTGAACAAATCTCATCAGGAAAGCAAGACTGAAGCTGGTAAATGGCCACTTTTTAGTCCTTTTTCCAAGACAGGTTTGGTACTGTTGTAGGTGGCTTATGTGTGTGAACAAGGGTGGGTGCCACAAACGCTAGCTGTCACTAGTTCAGGGATTTGATTGCACTTTTGCTTTTCTTGGCTATTAAGACACACTTACGCGCAGTTGCTCTTCCCATTTCTACAGAATTTCTACAGAATTATTTAACTAAAAACAAACAAAAGAAAATGTGAAAGTTTAAAAAACTAAAGGGATAAAATATATCTAATACTGTCCAAATATAGCGACATTGAAATTTGCTGGCGTTCAGCCCAGCTGACACTACATCTAGATTTATTTTCTTTGGCTACTGACATATCAAGCAATAACATCATGTCTTTTACTCAACAACTTGCATGAAGTTCTTGAATTTCTGATCAAGCTTATGTACTTTAATTTTGAAACACGAAACTCTTAGCTACCAGGTTGGAATTCATATTATCCAACGAATTAATTTCAGAAAAACTGGTAATATAGTTCTGGTACTACACTTAACATTCTTCATGGGTTTACACTACATTGAATCCAACTACCAAATGGATCTTTGTAAGAACAGTGCCATCAGTTTTCATTTTCCCTCATCATCGCTTATCACCTATACATCTGTGGTTATCAAATTTTAAAAGGGCTTTATGTAAGAAAAACAAAAATAAAACAAAAAAAACACAAACAGAAAAATAAATCAAAAAACCCAAAAAACACAATGGAATTTTAATTTTTCTAAATATTTTAAAATTAATAACACAATCATATGAGTTTATGTATTAATACAGTTATAACAAAAAATGCCAAAAATGACACTGGCATTGTTTGGATTTTTAATTACTGAATGGAACAGTTCATTGTAATAACACTTGTATAGTAAAGGAATAAAACGCTAACTTAATGAACGTGTTCATTGTAAATGGTTGTGTATTATAAGACTTCTCCAAAAGAGTTTGTATGTTTATGAAAATTTATTTGTTTCACCTGAAGACCTTGATGTGGTTCTTACCCTAACAAAGTTTAAAATTCACATTCACTCTTTTTATATAAATAGTAATAAGTTTAATTATGTAACTAAGTATTTTTATAAAGTATGGCATTGTTGAACTGTTTTGCAGAATTGGTTCAAAATAAATTTCTCCTTGATTGCATCTGCTTATTTGAGGGGGGGGAGGGAAGGCGGGAGGGGTACAAAAGCAGAGTAGCCTTCGTATCGAGGGGGAAAGGAAGGGAATAAAACCTTCAGGATTTGTGGGTGTATTTTTGTCCTCTGTAAACTATTTTAACGTACTTTCGCACAAGACTTTGAGTTCATGGTGCATTATTGCTGGGAAAAGAAAGACTTTTTCTAGAGGAGTTCAGAAGCCTGTGGCAGGAATGGGCTAGAAAGGTTCTGTCTGGACTTAAAACTAAACCCTGTGATGGACGGACAAACAGACAGACTTGGGGTTCTTCTGAGAGCAAGTCCAACACAGACTCTCAGCTGGCGCTTGTTGTCATGCTGCAGGGCCAATGCATTTCCTCTCTCTTGCTTTATCTGGTCTTAGCAGCCACTGTTGACTTCGGTGCAATTCTTCAGGGAATTTTATACATTTGTTTTTGTGGTAGCTGATGTTTTATCTCAACTCCATTGAATGTTACCTGTCTCAATGACCACAACTCAAACTGCGAATCCTGGTGTGTATGCAGTGCCACTGTAGGTTAAGGAGCTAGTACTGTTTGAGTTTCAATAATAACTAATACAGCACTAAACCCATTCTTCTTACAGAACCTACAAACTGCAAAGTTTACTGTGTTTTTAGTATTTCCTGTAATGTAATTAATGTTTTGCTATTTTTAATGGCAACAATCATGTAATTTCTGGTAATCTGTACTCTCCCCGTTGTCCATCAGAACCTTGTGATACCCATTCTGCATGCTAGGCCTGCAGATGGTTGCTGTCATACGTTGTTTCAAGCTGTAGTATTTTAAGAATATTTTCATACTACTTTTGAGTAAACTTCCAAACATCATAATGTGTGCGATCCTACTATTTAGATAAAATACATCCCTATTTTAGCATAAGGCATTACGAAGAGAACCTTATGTGTTCTTACCTTTGCAACCACTGAATTGTCATTTCACTAGGCTTATGAGTAGCTCTTGCCACTGAAAAGTAGCCTTGGAAATTTTGGGGGTTTTTGTTGGGTTTGGTTTTTTTTTGTCTAAAAAATTATGGATAGAAACAAGCCAGAGTGCTATTTTACCTGTAGTCATCTACAATATTGTTTGTTCTAAAACACGTTATCCACAGCTGGAATGAGTATAAATTAATATAAAAGCCTAGACTTAATGAGGCCTCACTTTTGTTATTTATTTTGATCTATTCAATCCAATAAAGTTCTCAGTTTTTAAGTTTTCTGTGAAGATGCTGTAGATGTTTGTATTTGTGCCAACTTTGTCCCACCACACAAGACTTCGCTTAGAGCTCCACAGTCCTGCTGGGTTTAAACCACAGGAGCACTCACGGCAAGCAGCACATTGCGAACAGGAGATTCAAATTCTCACACCTTGACAAGGAATTGAAGACGAGATTTGAATAGCTGATTGATAACTGAATAACTGATTTGGGACCCCCTGCGAGGCGCGTCTCTGGCAGACACCTCTTTGAGACGGGGTGGGAATGGGATGGTTGTGTCCATTTTTGGTATAACGGCCTGGAGTGTAAAGCCTGGGCTCTGATCTGAGAGCGTTAGCTGAAGAAACATGAACAGCTTCCCTGCTTCTCCCTTAGCACAGGGGAGAGAAAGGGCGAGAGTGAGTGGGAAGGGTGGAGGTGAGCAGCTGAGGTACGTCGCATCTTCACAGGGCAGAGGGAAGCCAGCTGAGAGGTGTGGCATAGCGGGGGTCGTCTCTTCTCCTCCCTGTCCTATTTTGAAAAGGAGTTAGAGATGCAGGGGAACTGCGGAGCGTCTGTCCCATTGTGCACGGTGGAGATGGAGCAAGGCTAACACCAAGTGCTGCTTCTGTTCCCTGTGGTGGTCCTGGTCAGCTCACCCTGGCTGGTTCCTAGCAGATACCCTTCATATAAGCTGGGGACTCCCAGTACAAAAAGAGAGCATCGTTCTGCTGTCATTTGTGAGAGTGAACCTTGACCAGCTCTTAGGGGAAAAAAACCCATACGGAGAGCCTAACCAGAGAGATACTGGTCCCTGGATCCCAAATTGTCAGGGATGCTTGCCTCTGGAGCTCAGCCCCAGAGCGATGGCATTTCAGATGCTCTGGCAAGTAGCTTAGCATTTCTTTCCTAGTGGATGTGTGTGGATGCAGGATTTTGTGTTAGGTTTCCTTCCTTTCCATGCGGGTACAGCATGCCTAGAACAGAGTTCAGTCATTACCCATGGGACCCAAGTTCTTTACTGGTTCTACTCTTTGAGCTGATTTTCCTTGTTAGTTCTGCATGCAAACGTGCTTCTTGTAGGTAGCACATTGGTTATCTATTTTTAACACCTCTTTAAATTAAAAGGCATGTGTTTTGCCAAATTGCAACAAGCACTTTGTTGGGGGATCAAAGTGTTCATAGCACTGTGTACTTTTACAGAGCATTGTCCATCTCCTCTTAGTGTTTCATTTACTTTGAGTAGCAACACGTGTCGGCATCACGTTGCTTTTAATTTGTTCTTCTTGAAGGAGAGAGGACAGTTACCTAGTTAAATTCAGTAGGGTCTGAGGAACAGACTGGAAATTTAAAAGGGAAACCTGAATACAGGCACTCTTGATGAATCAGTCATATACCAACACTGAAGCTGACTGCTGTGAAGGCATTCCTTTTTTCATCAAAAAGCTACTCCCAGTAGGAGCACTTCACCCCTCTCCTTTGCACCCTGCTGCTAGGTTATCGAGTCTCGAAGCTGAGGCTGCTGATAAGTACAACTGGGACATGGATAGATCTGTGCAGATTATGTTTGGCCCTGAAAATCCATCCCATGCGTGCTACCAACTCACTTTTTTCCTGGACCTCAACAGGTGCCAGCTGCTGCGTTCACCATGCATTCAATACCCCTACATTTATTCTCATCTGGGGCAGCCTTCCAGGGCTCCGGGGCTCATGATCCTTCTCTTGGCTCCAGTGTTTGGAAGCACCAGGGTTGTATTTGCTGGGTAAGGAAGCATTTCTACTCTTTCAAAAACAAAAAAGGATAAATCTTAGTTCAGCATGACTCCTACAATAAAAGTGCCACAAATAAGGAGAACATCTAATCGTTTGACTGCTTCGTCATGAAAACAGTGAGGATGGCTCCCTGCTCCTCCAGTGACTGTGGAAAATGCCACTCACAGAGGTGCTCAAGGTGTGTTGTCAAACAGGAACGCCTGTGCCAGATTGCAGCCCCTGTTCAGTCCTGACAAGGAGGTCAAGGCTGTGGTTCTGTCCTTCTGAAGAGCTCCCAAGAAAAGCCAAGAGCGTTGGCTCACGTTTCTAGGAGTGGAAGTTGGCCACTAGATGACTTGCATCCCTCACATCCCTCTCCCTGCCTTCCTCTCCTCTCAGTTCTAGCCTAGGTGTTCTCACTCCACCACAACCAGCCAGCTTTTACTTCTCCATCATGTGGCTGTGCAGCAACAGCATGAACACATATGAGAATGCACAGAATTAAAGATTAGAAGCCTTTACCAGCCTTATGTATCATCTTGTGTTTTTTTCTTTTTTAAATGGAGGGTGCCTGGCAAATTGAGCAGCGTTACTAGAGCTAGGTCTGATCTGTATCACTTTCACTGGAGTTTTGATTTCATTCTGTATTTCCCTCTTCACTTCTGGAATGACTCTGTCTTTCAAACTGGGTTACAACTAGTGTAAATTCTTTCCCATTCCCCCAAATGTATATTCTTCCCTTTGTGCTAAAAGACTGCAAGCACAATAGAAATAGTTTCCATATTTGCGTTTTCATTTAGTGTTGTTAAGGTGACTGCATCAAAATCTGTGAACTTAATCTTCTTGCCACTTTTATCAAAGGACTACCATTTGCAAGGGGAGATTTTTATCCATATGAAACTGAAGTTCAATCAATAGCTTCAGTAGGTTTAAAGTTATAATAAGTAGATTACTAATAGGCTAAATATAATCTCAGGCGCCACTGTCATTAGAACAGCCCCAGACTTTTCAGACTGCTACTAAGTGTTTTGAAGAGCAGGTGTCTGTATACTTAGCAATAGATATGCCCTCTGAGTTCAGTTGATCATGAGGGTGAGAAGGAATGACCCTGTCTGCAGCTTGGGGACGACAAATGGCATTCGGGAAGATAGTGGGATACACATCCACTTTGGTAAGCCAGCCAGCCTGCTTCAAATGCTCTTGATTTATTGACAAAATAGCACAACCCTCACGTGTTCTTCGTCCCAAGGCAGACATTGTTATGCCAGGCAATAGGCAGAAATCTACTGATACGCAGCATCTCTCTTTGGGGTTTCCAACTTACCCAACAACCCTTATTACCAAATATATAAGATTTCTCACTCTCAAACACTTCACGCATGAGAGTTTCATTATCTCTGGATGGCAAATTAAGGCAAAGGGAGAAGAGGCATTTTGACTCATCCAGGATCAAGGTGAACACCGTAACAGAGCAGCAGCCAGATTTGGTCTACCAGGAATTTCCTTTCAGATGGACAGCATTTAGCATCGCCTACCAACCTTGACTCCTGGTCTCAAGCTTGGAGAGGTGGTTTCCTAAGAAAAGCCTGCAGTAATTTCCCATTATGCCCCACAATGGACAGCCAAGCTACTCAAAAAAAAAAGAAAAACCTGCCGCATTTTGGACACAACAGTAGGCACGGCCAGGTGGGCAGAAGGCTGTCGTTAGGCAGAGCAGTTTGTTACAACAGGACATGGCTGCAGGGGTGTTCCACAAGCAGTGCCCAGTGAGCACAGCGCAAGTTCCTCTGCGGTTGTCGTTGCTCCGTTCTCACACCAGACGTAACTGCCATACGTAACTGGTTTGCAGCGGTGCTTTAGAAGGGCTTTCTAGTGCCCTTTCAGCCCGTTGGTGCCCTAGACCATAGAATGAGCAATTTCTTCTTTGCCACTCAAGTCTGGTGTTTCACTGACACTGCTGAATATGTCAAAATCCTCTAAGCCATCAGCTGAACACCCACAAAAGCTGTGCCTTGATGATATCATGTCTTTTCCTGGTTTACCTACCTTTGCAATTGTTGCTTACAGAAGTGTCTGCATTTTTTTAAAATCACTTAGCAATCTGGCAAGTATGTGTTCAGTTATTTTAAGCTTCTTTAAGGATAAACCATTATCTTTAGTCAGCCCAAGATTGGAGCCTGTGTATCACCTGGTCTATTAATATAAGATGCTGAACACCCTTCTGTCGTCAAAAGTGAAATGTGCTTGGTACAACCTGCCTAGATATGTAAATGACCTCAGCCACTGTGGTACATGATTCATCACATCCAAGGAAAGTGGGATGGGATGTTCTTCCCACACTGCAAGTAGGAACAGCAGAGGATCTGAAACACAGGCCAGTAAAGTGTCTTGCCCAGAATCACACAGAAAGGTTCTTACAAAACGGAGGTCCAGACACTGGTTCCTCAGATCTCAAGCAAATACCCTGAACTGGGGAGGCCTCACAGAATTGGACTCACAGTCTCATATTTCTTAACATTCCCTTTATTCCATGCTGCTAAAGAAAATGATGTTTGGCATGAGGCTTCATGCTGTGCCTGTCCTTTCTCTGACACCGCAGTTTGCTACATATGATTTGCGTGTGGTTTACCCTAAAAACCCTTGCTGGGAATATAAGTTGACATTGAGTAGTGGTATGTGGAACTGGAAAAAAACAGCATTCACCCTCAGCCCTGAGTCTTGGGGACTTGAAACAGCTGGACCATAACTGCCATGATCTCACTGCCAGGAACAGAATGCCGTATGAGGAAACAAGATCTTGAATGTGACTGCAAGTACCAAAACAACTCTGGGAGATGCAGCAGTTGCTTGAAGAGGACAGCATGTAAAGGCTCTCTCATTTTTAGAAACTGTTTTCCTTAGAGGAGACATGATCTGATGGCCTATGTCTCTTTAACAGCATTCTGGGCTGTCCTTCTAGGGTGGTTGTTTTCTTCTGCTGTGGAGTAGGGGGTGATACAGGAGCAACTCTTCATCTTGAAAGCCCTTTGTAATGATTAATTTTTCTGAGGAAGGGATCAGCATCTGGAAACAGGCAAGTATAAGATGAAACACGGCCATGCAACCAAATTGACAGTGGCCACCCAGATCTGGGTGCAAAGTGAATGGTTCCATGCGGATACTTCAGATTCATAGACTGTCAGAAAAGGTTCCTTCTCGAAGTATCAGCTGAGGAAAGGGCCTACAATCATTTTGTTACAGGCATTTGGCTGTAATAAGGCAGTAAATTCTGCTGTGCTTTACAGTCATGTGTGCTGTCAAGGCTTTCTTTATTCACGTGGTCAATAGAGACATGGGAGAAATTGTCAACAACCTTGGAGGCTTCTACAGCGAGCTCAGCACTGACAGGCAACTGTGCTGGGCACGACTCATTGGGGATGCTGTTGTGAAAAGGGTAGTAACAAACATATAAGCTGTGCATTTTCACAAAATATTTCCATTTTTATTCTTGGAAACTGGGAACATTTTTGGTGGTAAGGCAAGCCAGCGTGAAAGTGACCGCTCAAAGAGTTCCAGGTGGGTATTTGATGCAAGGCGCACATTTCAGCATCCACTTCTTTTGTAACTTTTAACCAACATATATTCATTCTTTTTTCCAGTATCAGTGACTTTTGCCCTTGGTGTGTTATTAACAGTGCTGTCTTTTAATCTCTGGCGAATCTAAATATCATTTAACAGGAATAAGATCGGTGAGTATCAAACCACTATGGATGACACTGGTGGATGAGCATTTGTTTGCTCAACAGATTGGACCAGAGAGGGGTGCTGTGCACTTGGCCATAGCTGCTGTCCTGACTGCTCTGTGGGCCAAGTGAGAGGGAAAGGTAATGCTCACGAGATCTCAGTATAAGAATGATCATTAATTCAGAGAGATTCCCCGCTCCTGGTTGCCCTCTGGTCTTGATTTTGCAGTAACTTCTACATACGTTTATCTTGTCAAATAAAGTACAGACATCACTGAGTTCTTGGAGACTCTGCACGTGCTTAATTGTTGCAGGATGGAGAATTGTCACAACTGCACAGTGCTTAGTGGTGGAAATGCTCAGAACACTTCAGAGTCGTTTTGGTGGAGCTCTGGCATTTCTCAAGGAAAATATTTTTGCCTAGCCCTGCATATCAGATGTTTCTCTCTATGCCCTTCTCTCGATTTCATCTTTCTTACTTGGAGATTTTAGTCTGAGATTTTAATCTTTTAGCCACTTCCCTACTGAATATGCTGTTGATCTGGGAGCCAAATCTTGTATACTTAACATGTTACTGGACATTTAAAATAACCTATTTAGGCAGTGATGTGAGCAGCCATAAGGGCGTCCTGGTTAGAAGGGGAAATTACTGAACAAAAGGTATTGTCTGCTCAAAAAAACTGACAGAGAAAGGGCTGCCAGCCTGGAACTGCGAGCCTGGGGACTAGCCCTGTTAACCATAAAAAGACATCCTTGAAAAGTGCAGCTGGCATATTCGAAGTGCAGCCGAGGTACCTAGAGAGCAGACATCCACAGATACCATTGATAAGTGCAAAACAAGGGACTGTAACAGCAACTTCTCACCTGAGAAGGTGCAAAACCGTCTGAAAAAAGAAAATTACTCTGAAGGAACAGAAAACAGCACTATCTATTAAAATTAACAGCATCTATTGGCTGCTCTATGTCCTACTCCCTCTTATGGCACTGTGATACAAAAAGGACTTAATGTTTGTCCAAAATAGAGCCTCTCTCTTTCTGAGAACTTCCCAGTTGAATCCCACATGAACTTTCTGTGAGGTCCTGGGCTTTCCCCAGAGAGCAGAGTCTGTGATGTGGATCATTTTGGAAGTGGGACTCTGCCTGCTGTCTTACTGGCTCGGTCTGTCCTCCTCTCTTTTGCAGATGGTTGGTCCCCCTTTGGGATCTGTTTGTTCCCCCCTTCCGGGATGGTTTGGCTCCTTCTGAAATCTTTTTAATTCACTTCATATCGATATTATATATATTCACATGAGTAATCTATCCTAGATGTATCTGCTCTTATATTGTTCGTAAGTTTTCTTCATTCATGGTAAAATACAGTAATCTGTAGTGGTATATAGTTACTTGGTTGCTGCTGTTATTGTTTGTACTGATTGATGCCATTATTGATTGATACCATACTATTCATTAATACTATATTATTGATTGCTGATAGTAATTTGTGATAGATTGATATATATTCATTCATACTCATTTTATGAATCATAGGTATGCTTGCTAGTGGCGATTTTTGCGGTAGTACACTTGTTTGTGGTGATTTTTGTGGTATTTGTTGTAAACTGTAATAAAGCAGAGAAATTCAGAGGATAAAATTTCCATATCCTTGCATATTACAGAATCCTACAAACCCATGGTCATCATCTCTCCACACCTGTAGACCGGGTAATCTTTTAGGTTGTGACAGTCGGAAATTGGGCTGTTGCTCTGTGAGCTTAAAAACCTTGGTATGGTGGAGTCCTAGTGCAGAACCAGCACTTCAGGCCCTGCAGGAGGACAAACAATTCCTGGTACAGGCACGGTTGGATGTGCTTGCTGTTTGCAGACCCTCTGATTTAAGAGGACAGAAATAGCAAAAAGTTGCAGCTAGCACTGCCTGGAGTTACCGCTGTGCACACCCATGTGCCGTGTGGCCTGGGACATGCCACCGCATTACCTCAACTGTAGAGCTTGCAGTGGAGAGCGGGCTTGAGCCCCACCAGCTTGGGTCTGCCAGCATCCACTCTCTCCTACACTTCTGCTCTGTTGGATTGAGACTTCACGTGTCATTGCTTGTGAAAGCAACCAGCAGCCTTCAGCTTGCTGAAGTCCGAGAGCACGATACAGCTCAAAAAAAGGGGCTTTTTAACTGTATTAGAAGAGCACGTGCTTTAGTCGGTGTTCAAACTAAAATGGTCTTACAGCTCATTTCAGACAGAAGCTGTTGCCCTGGCGGTGGCTGTTACTCTCTGCTCAGACTGTCCTTCCCTCCCAGCGTGCCCTCTTTGTGTGTCTCCGCCATGCAGAGACACAAACCATCCTCTCTTCTGGGGAAGCTGCACAGCTTCTTCTGGCCAGCTCCAGTGTCATAGCTGTCAGCGGGAGCTGATGTCTCCTGCTAATAGGAAGCTGTGTCCTTGAAGATTGTGCTTTAATCTGTAGGTCTCTGTTTACGATCTGGCCAAGGAGCTGCTTTTCTTTAAGTCTGGATAACTGGGGGGTTGTTTTATTTTTTTTTTTAATTGCTGGGGGCTTTGTCCCCAAGATAACTCCTTACTGAAAACTTAAAACTCTGTAATTGAACTGTAATGTTACCATTGTCTACTAGAAAAATACTTGGGCCTCATGTGTTGATCTGTTTGCTGAAGTGAGCAGTCATTTTGCGGGATTTCTGTTCAGTATTAAGATTTAAAAGAACCTGCTCTAAAATAACCTGTTTTTTCCTTTCCTGAGAGCAGGAGGTGTGACAGCAGGGGTGCTTCTCTGTCTTAATTTGGCAGCTGAAAAGCGTGACTTGGCTTCCCTGTTTCATGTTTTACTCCTGCTTGGACAGAGTTTAAAAGGAAGCTGAAAAGGGCTTATTATCAACTACTCACAGCCATGAAATTAGGCACACACACGTTTGGCAATGCCACACAGACTGATGGGGGGGGGGGAGTTTTAGAATATCTGCTGTCTTAACTCCCTGCTTGCTTCAGAGAAATAGGGAAAAGACTCAAATGGGAAAACTAAAACAGGGAAAATTCCTCAAGTGACTAGCATTACTTTATCTTTTTTCATCATACTGTTTTATTATGTTTTGCTTTTTAATTTTATACGTCATCCATGAATCAGGATGCAAAACAATTGCTATTCAACATGGATTTCAGATATACTACTGATGTGCTAAGAGATGAAGCAGCTCATGGTAACTTCTCTTTCCTTCAAAACTGGACTTTGGAATCCACCATCTTCCTAATCCTTGAATTGTCTCATCAGTTTTGGTGTCTTAAAGGCACAGGAGCAGGCTGTCCCCACATGCCACAAGACGAACCAGCAGGGAAGACGACCGGCCTGGCTGAACAGGGAGCTCTTGCTGGGACTCAGGAAAAAAAAAGGAGGGTCTACCACCTACGGAAGAAGGGGCAGGCATCTCGAGAGGAGTACAGGGGTCTCATTAGGTCATGCAGAGAGGAAATTAGAAAGGCAAAAGCCCAGCTAGAACTCAGGCTGGCCACTGTTGTAAGGGTCAACAAGAAATGTTTTTACAAATACGTCAACAACAAAAAGACGGCCAAGGAGAGTCTCCATCCCTCATTGGATGCGGGGGGCAATACTGCCACCAAGCATGAGGAAAAGGCTGGGGTCCTTAATGCCTTCTTTGCCTCAGTCTTCATCAGTCAGACTGGTTATTCCCAGGGTAGTCAGCCCCCAGTGCTGGAAGACGGGGAAGGAGAGTGGAACAAACCCCCCATAATCCGTGAAGAAGCAGTTAACGACCTGCTGTGCCACCTGGACACTTAGAAGTCCATGGGGCCAGATGGGATCCACCAAAGGCTACTGAGGGAACTGGTGGAGGAGCTGGCCAAGCCACTCTCCATCATCTATCAGCAGTCCTGGCTAACAGGGGAGGTCCCAGATGACTGGAGGATCGCCAGCGTGACACCCATCTACAAGAAGGGCCGGAAGGAGGATGCCAGGAACTACAGGCCTGTCAGCCTGACCTCGGTGCCTAGGAAGATTATGAAGCAGTTCATTCTGAGTGCACTCACCGGGCATGTGAAGGACAACCAGGGGATCAGGCCCAGCCAGCATGGGTTCATGAAAGGCAGGTCCTGCTTGACCAACCTGGTCTCCTTCTATGACCAGGTGACCTGCCTAGTGAATGAGGGAAAGGCCATGGATGTTGTCTACCTGGACTTTAGTCAGGCCTTTGACACTGTTCCCCACAGCATCCTCCTGGAGAAACTAGCTGCCCATGGTTTGGATGGGTGTGCTCTGGTGGAAAAGGACCTTGGGGTGTTGGTCGACAGCCGGCTGAACATGAGCCAGCAGTGTTCCCAGGTGGCCAAGAAGGCCAGCGGCATCCTGGCTTGTATCAGGAATAGTGTGGCCAGCAGGAGCAGGGAGGTGCCCCTGTACTCGGCACTGGTGAGGCAGGACGAGAGGCAATGGCCTCAAGTTGCGTCAGGGGAGGTTTAGATTGGACATTAGGAAAAATATCTTTACTGAAAGAGTGGCCAGGCATTGGAGTAGGCTGCCCAGGGGGGTGGTTGAGTCCCCATCCCTGGAGGTGTTTAAAAAACATGTAGATATGGCACTTTAGGATATGGTTTAGTAGGCATGGTGGTGTTGGGCGGATGTTTGGACTCGATGGTCTTAGAGGTCTTTTCCAACCTGTGATTCTAAGATTCTATGGTGGGAGTAGCTCACTCAGGAATATGCCACTATCCCATGAGACTAAGACAGGTTCGAGGGACAACCATAATGATGAAATCTGGAGCTTGAGGAGAGGTTGTTGTTTAGTGTAATTTGATATTTATGCTTATCCCCCTCTAGAAACACTCCAAAATGGCCTGCTTGGGAAAAAGGAAAGGGGTGAGCTTAAACAGATCTGTACCTGATGAAAACCGTTACTCTGCATCTCTTAGAGAATGGGAAAGGAACTGTGTCAGATGAAGCCTGTTGTTTGCTGACATCTTCTCACATGTTCCAGGAGTGCGAGGTCAGCCATTCGGTTTGTGACTTTTTGCTATATAACTCTCTGTGTTGGGTTAGCAAGGAGATTGTGCTGCTCTCTGCTTTGTCCAAGGATTTACCTGGCTTGAAGTTCTCTTGCAATGAAATAGCTAGGGAGAAGAGAGAAGGGCTTATTCAGCAAAATTGATCTAATTGATTAAAATTGTGGCTTTCAAGGGAAAAAAGAAGTCAAAACACCTTCACTCCTTCAGTTTCCCTGAAGAACATTCTTTGATGCACTATTTAATGAAATAATCCTCTGTTTACTATAACACAGCTTGGCTTGAAACCATCCTCATCTGCATCAGAACAGCAAATGTTGAAGCATGGATACCTGGCTTATACAAGATCCTGTGCCTGCCTGGGCTACTCAGACCAGCAGTTAAAACAAGTTTGAATGTTCAACCTTCTAATAGTAAGATTTTAAATGGTATGTGAAGTGGGGAAATGCTAACAGATGATGATCAATTCTCACTGCTTGCTCCTAAACACTTTGAAGTTTTGCTGGACTGAGTAAATGTAACATTGCAGATCCATTTTGAGAGGTAAAAAGCAGGCTCAATGCCACTTGAATAATTTTCCCTGTAAGGCAGAGTGTTACAGTTCTGCCTGTGATCAAGGAGGGGAATATGAGCATGAAGAACGAGGTATTAAGGTAGAAATGGAAGTCTCTTTGTATTGGTACATTGTGTGTAACAGCAAGTTTACACAGGTGCATCTGTGTTGGTTTAAGCAAGGAGCTTACGCACATAGGGATACTCAGGACAGGGGTATGAATTAACCAAAGGTGTGATCATTAAGAGTGTTAATGAAAACACATAAAATCTGTGCTTGGATAGCTACATTCAGAAGCACAGTGCCCTTCACCTGCAGTAACTTCATAGATGAGAAATGGGGATGTCTTCTTCACAGACAACACAAACCTCAAAAGCTTTACAATTGCTGCTTTCTTCTAGAACTTCTGATTGCTTTGGCTTTGAGGGATACTTTGAAACTGTCAGCAGGAGAGGGCACTTCGCTTCCTTCATAAAGCAGCACCCTTTCTGCCAGAGGGAGTTGCGTGAGCTTGGCTTTCTGTGAAATATTGTGAAAGCTTTGGACAGTTCATTGGTGTCAAATTTAGTTAATGCAGCTGGGATTTATCTTCTGGGATATATATGCCTTAGTATATCTAGAAATAGTGTTGCCAAGTCATGGGATGTTTGGTTCAGCTGGATGTTATTCATATAACTGATCTCATTTTCTGATGGTTTTCTGCTACTCCTGGAAAGAAATAAAAAGCTTATTCTCACTCTGAAAATGTTTAAGTTAATATTATTCTAGATGCAGTGTGGTAGGGTTATTTGGAGATGTATAACTGATGTAACTTTGCTTGCAGTTACATGCACGTAGGCCTTGAGAGAACGCTGGACAACGTAAACACTTGTATTGAGTCATATTCTTCTGTGGTTTATGCTTTGAACAGACGGACTAGACCTAGTCTAACTCTTCCAGGTCTATGATATGGGCAGTAATGACTTTGCTTCTGTTTCTCTCTTGGATGCTTCCCCTTTCCACTACTGTATAATGCTGCATTGCAAGAAAACAGTAATGGTATGGCAAAGCTGAGGACTGATCGCAAACGAAGATAAACATATTTCCATTGATTTACGAAAAAAAACATTGCTGTTTTATTTGCAGAGTAAGGTGAAGCTTACTCACAAGGGAAGAGAAGTAATAAGAAAGTTCTTTCTGTAAGACAGTGATGCTGAAACTGTAAATTCTAGTTTATGGATTCCAGTTTACTGCTGCATTAATCATTCAGAAGTGATCTATATCTTGTTCCAAATAAGCACATAGGTTTAAAGTAAAGGGGGGTGCAGATCTGCAGGATGACATTTGCAGATGCAGATTTATACAAGAAATGATTGGCCCAGACAAAATAATGGTAATACCAGTTTTTGCTACTATACTATGTTATTTTCTATTTAAAACCATTAGATGAAATATCTCTTATGATATACATTTCTTGACAAATACTTCTTTCTTCCTTCTTCAAAACCTGAATATTGATGGCAACAAATGTTGATCTGTATCAACAAAGAGCAGTATTGGACACGACCAAAGTAGATGTATTACTAAGATTTTTTTCCTGTATTTCTGTGCCAGAACTTCCATTCTGGGGCGGAACCCCACTTCCAGGATTGTCTTCTAGAAGATTTAAAGTGCCTTTTATATCCAGGGAGGCTTCCAGAGGAAAGCCTGTTAATATTTTTTCACCGATGTTTGCCCAAAAATAAACTGGAAGAAAAGTTTTTCGAACTAAAATGTTTGAATGAAAGTGAATTAGATGGAAGTCACACATTTTGATTTGGAAATGTTACTCTGTTGACTGCTATGGGCTGGATTCTTTGCCCCATGCATTTCCTGACATGCCACAGCTGCCAGCCTACTCTGGGTGCTGCACTGCAGCACTGAGCTGCCATGGGATGCCAAATCTCATGAAATGCCAAACCAGGAACTCTGTGAATACAAGACGGCAAGGAAGAGCCTGCAGAGAAACCATGGTGTCATTTTCAGATGTTTCACTTTTTGTAGGCAGAAAAATTCTCCTTTGTGTGGGAGAGAAGTGCTGCTGGAGAAGCTCATCTTATTTAAACTACTGCACTTTTTTGTCGAGAAGCTTTTCTGCTGAAAATTTCAGGCAGCCATGTCCACGTTTTAGGGTGCTTTACTCAAATACATGCTGCCAAGTTATACTCATTCTGACAGAATACTCTGCTCTACTTCCTACAGCACCTGATCGGCTTGGTTCAACCCTAGTCTTGATATTGCTACAGTCATTGCAACTAAGAATAAATTTGGCCAAAAGTACAATACGGACAGAATGGCAATTCCAGCTTTTCATTTCCTCTCCACTTCTTGAATTTCTACCTCTTCATATCAGTTTTGCAGCTCTTTTTATGAGTGTTTGACAGAAAAAAGTCAGTAGAATCCTCTACTGTATTTAATTCTTTTTTTCCTTATCCCCACATGCTAGATGCAAACCAACAATGGGAAATAAAAGAAGCAATAGAGTAGGGCTGAGTTTAAACCCTCATGGATGAAGGAGCCAACTTTTCCAGATGAGGATATGCATGTCCAGATGGGACATGCAACTGTTTCAAAGGTTGGAGTGTTTTGTGCTTGTTTTTTTTTTTTTTTTTAATCAGTAATAATACAGTGACTCCAGTCAGTACTGTAGTGTAATGCTGATACTGTTCCTTCATATATTCGGAGTTCAGGCTGAACTAGTTATTCAGAGTACCATTAAATGTATTTGCTACAGGACCTTGACACACATTCTGCATCTGTATTCCCTTAAGTTTAAAGAAATAGTTTGTTTCTAAAAAAAACACATAAAAGGACTGTAATGTCTGCATAAGGAAGGAGGCCAATATTTAGTATGAAATATGAATGCACCTTTTTTTAAAAATGTGTGGTTTCCAGTGAAATTGGAAGTCCAGTTCAGAATTTGTGCTCCTAACATGCTATACTTCGCAGCACTGTTAAAACCCTTGATGTACAATATGTTCATTTCTTTACTGCTCTGCACACCCTCCTATCTAATTCTTTACATTGCTTGTGGAGCAGAGAAACCAGAAAAAAAAATCAATAAAAAGTTTAAAGACATGTGTTACATTTTCTATAAAATGAGTGGAAAACAGTATGCTGAATCAACTGTTATTCCATCCTTAATGCTACTAAGTCCGTTGAGAATTAGAAAACAGAAGCAAGTCTTGAATGTTTGTTATTTCCTCACAGGCCTTAGCACTGCTAGGAATTTGTGCGACAACCAGAGAACATGTGAGTATATGTGTAAATGCTTTGGGCTTTTTCCTAATTGCCACTTGTTTAATGCAACTACTGCATAATCTTTGGAGCTGGTGCCAAACCTCCTTTGCATTTCTCACTGAAGTTAAATAATACAGCTGCAAATTACTTGGTATCTGTTCCAGCTGTTCCATAACAGGGTTGCTTGCCTCCTGTCTCCTTATCTCCCTGGTTCCTTCTTCCCACACACGATTTCTGTGAAGAACCTGGAAATATCTGATTATTTTATTATTATTATTATTACGAGTAACTACTAAAATTTCATATTCTCACATCACTGAGAAATATGAAGGAATGCATCCATGATTGTGATTGCCCATATGAAAGGTAGAGAAGCAAGGTACAAAGAGTAAATCCATGCTGCTCTGTGGAGCGCACTGCAGCTCTGTGAGACAACTCGGGTAACATCTGCACGGAGCAACATAGGCTAGACATGTGGTCTGCAGGCAGCTGCAGGGCTGCTGAAGCTGATATCCACTGTAGCCCAAGGATAATTACCACTGCTCCTGTTTTGCTCTTTGGGTTTGGGTACTTAAGCAAGTGTTTCACTCAGCACAGCAGCGCATGTGTAGACATGACCTTGAAGTGACTACACATGAAAGTGTGGTTTTTAGAGCGGAGAGGTTCCTGGCTCCTCTTCTTGTATCAGCTTTATTTGTGCTGCACTAATCCAACCGTAAAGATGAAAATCGCAGAAAATCATGCTGTTAGCAAGCTGCAGTTCATCCTCAGGTGGCACCAGGGGCACCGTGGGGGGTTGCAGGCAGGGCTGGGGAGCCAGGAGCTGACAGCATGGCTGGCAGGGCAAGCCTGGGCAATGACAGCCAGGTTCAACTGAGAAGGCTGCCAGACGAGGTCATGATGAGGAGACAGCTCTGAGGGCAGGGTCTGGTCAGTGAGAGGGACTAGGGTCAGACACAGCCCCGGGACTGCCAGCCTGTCTGCGGTGATGAAGTCAGACCCAGACTGAGCTGAGTCATCAGCCTGCATTTCAGGGTCCAGATCAGGGAGGTGCATGGCTTGGCACAGATGCAATGTGATGGGAGATGGTCGCACCTGGGGGTAGCTCAGGCAGGGACTGGGGGCCACAGCCCGAGCTGAGCTGGGTCGGAGAAATGGCAAAGGGACGTGGCGGGGGGGATTGGAGCCAGGTGGGGTCTCAGGCGGACCCTGAGTACACCCAGAGGCTCGGCAGGGTTACGAAGTGGCAAAGGGGGATTCTCAGATGGCACCTGAAGAGCCTCAAAGCCCCCCTGTGAGGGGTTCCCTCAGGAGCTTGAGTTTAGGCAGGGGCCGGTGCTGCAGGCGGGTCAGAGCCCAGTGCCAGGCCAGGTCTGTAGGACAAGGCCTTGCGCAGCCACGGGCCTGGCTCTGCGGTGCTGGCTTAGGGCTTGAGGCAGCCCGCAATAACTGGCAGCGTGCCCCGGGGGTTGGCTGCTCCCCAGGAATGGGCGCCCTGGGGGTCCCTGTGGGGCAGCAGGGCAGAGGCCTCCCAGCCAGGCCTGTCCCACCACCCCAGCCAGGAGCAGGCCAGCTGGGGGGCACCGGGGCAGCCCCAGCCCCGGGCATTGGGCCCCTCCCTGAGGACGAGGACAGGGATGGGCTGAGGCCAGGCCAGGGCAGCAGTGTGTGAGTGGGGTTCAGGACCAGGCCTGGTATGGGGAACCAAGGCCAGGCACAGCCCAGCATGCATCCAGGCAGGGCCATGGCAGGGCAGCACCATGGTCACAAGGCCAGACCGGGGTGTTGGTCCATGGCCAGGCACGTCCACAGCTGTACCGCAGCTGGAAGCAGGTCCGCCTGCAACGCAGCCCAGGCAGAAACTCCGGCCCATGGGCAGAGAGTGTGGGCCCCAGGTGAGACTGGTCAGGGTGAGGCCTGTCAGTGCACTCAGTGCCCTGTCTGGCCTTAAGAGGAATTTGGCCAGTATATGTGCAGCTATTTTATAAGGTTGAAACTTTTCCTTCCCCCTAAGGAGAGTCGTTGCTAACACTAGTAGTAAGTCACTGCCATCAGCTATATTTAAATACTTGTCACACGAAGTATTTTTAATGAGTCCAAAGACCAGAACTAGTTCCTGGATGTATCATGAATAGCGAGGTGTCAGTACCTTGGCTGGTACCTTTTAGAATACCAGTCTTCAATCTAAAGTAAATTGGTTTTTATTGCAACCATCTTTTTGCCAAGTCTTGACACCAAATCTACAGAGCCAAACAATGTGAATTAACAAATTCTCGGTTCTCCACAGCAACTGGAGACAACAGTGACTGCATTAGCGTAGTTTCTCTGCTGCCAGTTTCTCATGCCAAGCCTTCCTACGAACATATTTCATTGTGCTTCTCGCTCTCAGCTGCTGTCTACCAGTAGACGGAACACTTAATTTGGGGGGGGGAGGAGGTATTTTATAATGAACATCTATTAGGATGGGTTTGAACTACCCATTATTATAGCCTTGCTTTACAAAGTAAAGGCCAGTCCTGAATATTGGCTTTATTTGATGGTTTGTATAAACTTTTTCTTCTTTTCGCCATAACATCTGAGAAACACATAAGCATTTAATGCATTTATCCGCAGAACTCCCCTATGAATAAGGCAAGTACTATTAGCCATACTACAAACACGGAAAATTAATGTGAGGCCTGAGCTGACTGAACAACTTTGCCAAGCTCCAGACAGGAAATCTGTAGCACAGCTAGAAATTGAATCCTGACTCTTATCCAAGCGTATCTTGTCTACAAGGCCATCTCTCATCTGGCTAGAAGAAGGAATGATTTCCTACAGCAGGTTTTCCTACTGCTATATTCACTTTAGCCATCTCAAAATGGGAATAGTTGCTCATTCACATAGGCAAGCACATCCTAAAGCTGTGCAGTCCTGAGCATACTGAAGTGTGGCTAAGACAGTCCAGTCCCCAGTGTACCCCAGGTCCTTGCCTGGGGGCACGCTTGGGTGACCGCAGGAGGTGAGTTGGCTTCTAAAGGAGCCTAAATCCAAAAAAGACTTTGGGACAGTTTGTGAGGCAATTATCTGGCAGAGCTGCCCAATCAGTTCGTGTGAGCAACACGTAACGGTTTCACTACAAACTCAGCCGCCTTTGTGTAAATTAAGCCCCTGTCTTTGCCCTCTTATGGAACAGCCATTGTCACTCAGCATTTTCACTTCACTTTCACTTATGAAGTTCAAAATCCAGTTCAGGGGCAGCATTTCCCAAACTCATTCCAGTACGACTATGCCCATTGGCACACAGTGATTTTTTTTTCAGTGTACTTCAGTTTATGGTGTCAGGTGCAGTGCTTTTAACATTACAAGTATAAGCTGTTTATTTTTAATATTGGCAACATCCTTGAACTTCGGTTCAATCCAAATTCTCACTGATCTCTCATTTAAGTAGAGTAATTAAAATAATTTGGATTTATTGATATACACAGGAGGGACACTGCACAAATGTTTCTATATGAGTTGCCAGCAGCTCCTGTAATATATTAATTTGGGCGACTTCAGGTCTTTTTATTTTTTTCCCTTATACTGCCACAACAGAGCGATATTTAAACAGCTTCTACAAGCTAAGGCCTTGAGTCACCTCCAAATTGACAGCTGCAGGCTGGGAAGTGTGAATGAAAACCCGTCTGCACTGCTCATGGCCAAAAAAGTTCCAGAGTAAGGCTCTGCAAAATGCAGCAGTAATGAGAAAATCTTTCTTTCCACACCCTCCAAGCTAGTCTGATTAGTTTCTTCAGCTGTCACGACTGTGATTTCTGAGCGTGAGCTTACATGCACTGCTGTAATTTTCTTTGTTTCACCTCATGCCGTAGGGCTGCACCAAAGGGCTTTCGATGTGTTGGTATTGGGCACTGTCTTTAGTATTGACTTGGGGGCTCTCTGCGAATCAGTCCAGCGCTTGATAATATTTTATTATATCCCAGTATGTGAAAGGGTACCTATACAAAATACTCCAGTAGCAATTGGCTGGTGATTGTTCTTTTTTTTCTTAAAAAAGATGTTGCTACATGGTGGTCACAGCATGCATTTGTCTTGTTACCCTACAAGCCCACCTAACTGTAGGCTACAAAGGGAAATTAAACTTGGGCTGCACTCCATATTCCGACACTTGCACAGATGCCAGTTACTATGGCGGCAAACTCATAAAGTCAGACTAATTCACGGACTATTGATTGTGATGGCTGATCAGGTAGATTTTTGTCCCAAAATTCAGAAATAGTTCCTTCTTTTCTGACCCCTCATCTGTCATGACCAGATAACTCCTATTTTTTCTGGTATTGTAGTAAGGCCAAATTTGCAACGTATCGTAACACATCAGAAATACTGTGGGTTATGAAAGCTTGTCTAAGAAGCTAGAACATAGAGGGAGTTGGTATTTAAGTAAAGTGGTAAGAACATTCTTTGCAATCTCCAAGTTGCTTGAATTGCCCTTGGAAAGCAGGGAAACAATAAAAGGATGCAGTCAGAGGAGGAACGACAGAAGAGAGTAAACCCTTCAAGGCCACGTAGTGAGGCAGAATGAGTGTAGCAGTCAGCGCGGCAAATGGCAAGGACTCAGAAATGCTGTAGATATGCAGAGCTGGTAGGGAACTGACTTCTGATGCCACCTGTACACCTCCTCAAGCCACCAGCTGGGGAGTGCGAGGGACAGGGAACTGCTGGGACAGCTTGTTCGTCGGGAAGTAAGTCCAGGAAGGTCGCCTCCTCTCAGGAGGCCTATGGGCTCCTTTCATAGCGTGCCAAAAGGATCTAACGATGTCCCGTGTTTTGTCTAAAATGCTGCTGAGTAGAGCCTGCAGGCATACTAGTCATCTTTGCAGCAGTGCACCGTCTTCATATTCTGCAAATGAAAATTCCTTGAGTAAGGAATGTTTTCTTGTTTAAGTCTATATATTTGAATTCTTTGAATATTCATATTTTTGCTTGAAATCATACATCTCATACTTACTAATTTTAAAACCATGTATTTTCATTTTTATTCACATTAAGGTCTGCTGTGTAAAGTCTGCTTTCTACATCTTTCTGATCTTTTGAGCAGCATAAACCTTCTTGGACTTCAAGGTACGAGCTTCATTTCAACAACTGCTACTGGTAGTAAATTGTGCTGATAAAGCGGAACAGTGAAGTTGTAGTTAATTCCTATGCTAAAACGCAGTAGCTCTTCCAGAGCTATACATATCGTTCTGTTGAAGAGGAATTTTACGAGGACTGAAGTTACTGAAGAAGTTTCAAGGATACGGAGAGATGAAAGCTGAATTCTGCTAAGATTTAATTAATAAGCTCCAATACTACAAATACTACTATCTCTAATTTTTACTGCTCTGGGCTGCAAATTAGTCCATATGTTTATGGGATCTGGTTTTAAATGATGACAGATTATTACTAATACTACCTGGTAACCTCTGTTTAACTACAGCTCTGTTTGATTTATTTGAATTCATCATTCATGTAGGGTTGGGGAATTAAAAAAAATGCTGATACAGAGATGTTACGCCAAGACTGGGCTTCAGACAAGTCTCCGTTAAGATCTTTTGTCTTCCTGCTCGCTCATCCATGGGAAGTTTGAGTTTGTTATTTCTTGCTAGATCTCACCCTCCAAGATCCTAAAGTAAAATAATATTTACCTTTGCTTTTGTTCTGGTTTTGGCTGCAGCCGGCAACAAAAGCGCCATGCGGCCGCCCCTCCCCCCGCCGGGGTACGGAGGAGAATGGAGAGAAAGAGGCAGCAATGGGGGGTCGGGATAAGGGCAGTTTAACAGAACAGCAAACAAAGGGAACAGGAACAACAACGATACAGAAAAGGGGAATACACAAAACAAACCAGCAGAACAGAACCGTTCTCTCAGACCAAACCGCAGCTGAGCCCTCCCGAGCCGTGAGTGATTTCCGCGCTGCCCACCCCCACCAGAACCCAGCATGAAGGCACATGGTATGGAATACCCTGCTCTGTTTGGCCAGGTTGGGGTTGGGTCAGCCCACCCGGCTGTGCCCCTTCCTGGATTCTGGTGAAAATTAACCCTGTCCTGGCCAAACACAGGACAGCTTTCCAACTCTTATTTATTATAAATTATAAACAAACATACTAAAATTAAATATGTATCATCCCTTCCAAAAGATTTTTTTTAAAAAGCTTTATTAAACACATACTCTTTAGAAAATACTTGAAGACTTCTAGAACCTTGAAGGAATCCTCTCTCATACATAAAAGTTCTTATTTTCAGTACTAAATAAAGCATGTAAGCAAGTGCTACTCACACATAGTAACTGAATGGTAACAGAAGAGGCCACTGGTAACTGCAGAATATATAGGAAACTATCTCACAATTTAAAACAGGGTTAGCATCTGCATTGTACAGCAGGAACAAATAATCATCTGTTCTGTACGACTAGAGTTTAGTACTAAGGGCAGCACTGGTCTGCTAGTATCTGTTATTTTTTCAATAATAAAGTATGTATCTTTTCAAGTATATAAAAAACCTGTAACTTTAAGTACAGAGAAAGCTATGTAGCTTGGGTACATTTCCACATTAATAGAAGCATTAAACAGCCATCTCCATTTTAATAGGTGGATGAGGATTATAACCTTCAATCTGAAAGTCTTCCGCCTTAAAGTCACTGATGTCTTCAACCTTACGAAGAATTCTGAGTTTGGGGAAAGGTCTTGGCTCCCTCTGAAGCTGAAATAAAAGCAAGCCTATTGTATAAAGCTAATACTTGAGGGCAGAGATTGTGTGTTATAAATTAGATCTCATTAATCTCAATTCAGATTACACTGTGTAGATTTCCTCTCCTCCCCAAGAAGACTTCTACTCAAAAAAACCACGAAAGCCAAAAATCTCACAGAAAATTATAATACGGTTGGGTGGAATCTGCTTTAGTATTCTGACAGGGTAAGGATAATTTAAAAGTGGATTCCCTGATCATCCAAATGCACTGCAAGTATTTTCATTCTGCAGACCAATTCCGGTGGTTACAAATTAGATTCTTGCCAGAGGAAACTTAATTGGAAATTCTGACCCAGATGTGCATCAAATGTGCTGCAGTTTCTCACAGGAACTTTTGGGTCTGAACCAGTAACTAGTTCTCTGGATGGTTTTGAACCATATGAATGGTGAGGACATTCAGTCCGAGCTAAGTCTAATCAAATAAAATTCTGATTTGCTCCTACTGCAACAAATTACTTCCTGAAGAAAATATAGTCTTACTCAGCCAAATAGTAATACTGATTAACGCTGTGAATTGGTAAGTTACCTTTTTCGGATATACTACAAAGACATTTTATTTTGTGTTTATCTGTATTAGGTGGAATGGCTTTCTCAGGTTTCGGAATGATGAAATCACAAGTGGGGTACAGATTCTGGATCTCTGGCTTGCTTCTAGAATAGTACACCCATGTACACTTCATTCATGTTTGTATTGTATTTCTGTTTGCAACCTGAGTCGAACAGAGGTTAAAGTACTACAATTATTAGCGTAGAAATGAGAAGAAAAGCCACACAAATTAGTATTTGCAAAAGGTTATTTATAATACCAAGATAACTGTGTATTGGATAAGCACTGTGGAAGATAAAAGGATACAAGAATATAGAATAAGTACGTACCTGAACTTTTAGAGGTTCCACGTGATTCAGATAAATGTGAGCATCTCCTAATGTGTGAATGAACTCTCCAGGCTAAAGAGAAAGAATACATGTGGTTTTCAAATACTCAGGTTTCAAGAAAGCAAAACATTACAATGCTTACAGTATTCATTCTTTGCATCTTACATCTAGTGTGGAATTGCAGCTTCTGTACTGGACTGGATCATCAAGACATCCTTGTAAGCTTTGACAGACACCATCTGCCCAGACTAATGTACAATTAATGAAAAATACAATGAAATTTCCACTAGCTTACAAAAAAAATTTATCTGTGAAATCCTGCTAGGATAACAGCTTCAGTAAATGAATGCAGCACTACTAATCTGCTCACCAAGATGGAAACACATGGGGCAGCGACACCCAGCTTTTCCACTTCACTTCCACTATGTAGGTCTTGCCAAAGCTGGTTTCAAACAAGTTGCCTTAGCCACTACTAAACAATGCAGTTTGTGGCAGTGGAGGTGTCAGTCACAGGCTAAACCCCAAAGCACTTATCAAGCGTCCAGATGGGTTCTGCAAGCTTGCACACTGTTTGACTTAGCAGCCCCTGAGCAATCTAATTTACCTGAAATAAGTTTTATCAGCTATCTTACTGGGCTCTGACCAATGTAGATCAGCCCTCGGACATTATTGTGCCAAAATCCACCAAAGCTGTGAGAGGAAGTGGCTGAGAGGCAAAAGCTGCTTTATGGGCAGAATGCTAAACGTCACTTTTTCTAGTTCCTTGGCCTAATTTCTTAAGTATGTCTGCAATTGCTGTGAAGTCCGATTCTTCCCTACTTCCCTATTTTAAGTTCCCCTTCATGCTGCTGGTAGCAGGACTTGATGATCTTGGAGGTCTTTTCCAACCTTAACGATTCTATGATTCTAGGAGGATCAGGCCCAAATGGCCTTGCTAGTGTAATTTTTTACATGCTCTAAAGGAAAGGGGGTTGCACTTGTACAAGATTGTGGCGCATTTAAATTACTCTGCCAAATTACAAAATACAGCTCTGGAATCAGGGGAGTAGCTATTGGAGCACATACTACCACTCTACATAATCATCTACAGTAAATTATAGCTGGAAGTTGGGTGGGCAGAATATCCAAATTGGAACCTTGACAGCAATGGCTGAGCTACTGTTCGCTTCCAATAAAAAACACATGCTACAAAATCAGTTGTATGTTATTATCCCACAAGCACAAGTGCTCAGTTCAGATTTCTAAGTAGACTAGAGGAACAGGTCAGTTTTGACATGTTCCGTTAAAAAGACCTCGAGCATCTTCTGTTTGTTTGACCCAAATTTAAGAATTTTTATATTGCTAATCCTAACTCACCATAGAGACCATATTTCAGCAAGATTTTGAACAGAATGTTCATTCTAGTTTTTCTTGGACATGATATGAAGAGTCTTAATCTTTTACTCTCTCACTTCTCCAAGATTAAACAAAATTATTAAATAGCCTACCTTTAGCCCTGTGACATGGGCAATCATGTATGTGAGCAGTGAATAGCTGGCAATATTGAAAGGCACTCCTAGTCCCATATCTCCAGACCTCTGATAGAGTTGGCAAGACAATTCACCATTTAGAACATAGAACTGGCAAAGGGCATGGCATGGAGGCAAAGCCATCAGAGAAATATCTAGGAATTGCAGTACAAGAAGCGGGGGGGGGGGGGAAATTGTAACACCATTAGTGCGTTATAAATGTAGAAGATACAAAACCTGAACAAGCATTTAATGAGATACAGTAGAGAGCAAAAATCCAACTGCACTATCATTCTGTTGCTTTTCTTTTGTGTAAAAGCACCTGCTGCCTAACCAATTAAGTCTGGGTCATGACAAGCTGTCTCCTGGGCTGCATGACCAGAAAAGTCATAAACAGATACTCCACAGAACAGATTTACGCCATAATGCTGCACAGCAGTTTAGTTTTACTCACCTCGGCAAGACAGTCAATTTCCCTAAAGGAAGACATTAAGAGTAAAATTAAGCATGTACCCTAAAGCGACTTCCAACTGCTTCATCGACTGCTTCCCACTGCAACGTGCCTTTACTGCTTGTTGAGATATAAAAGTAATGATCCATAAAAAATAATAATCAGAAAACAAAAGATCTTTTGAGTGTTTATCTACACTTAAAAGTGCCGATACTGCATTTACAGCTAGGTAAGGAAAACTTTAACTAGGTATCCCCAGATATCTGAGAATGTTTAACCTTAAAAATAACAGCAACAGCATGTGGCATCCCCTTTCAGAGACATGAGTGGAAAATGCTGGGTGATTCTTTTTGTGCACTGATCTACTGCTGCTAAAGTTAACCATTCTCTGGAACTAGCTCTTATTTAGAATGAGCCCTACAGAGCGAAAGGATATCTAGACAACCTATGTTCAAGGAGATGATTACAACACAAATAATATTTTTGTTCTCTAGTTTCAAGTTTTTTGTTAAGTTTACAATTTATTATATGGCTAAAAAAAATGCTTTGGTATACTCTTTTTTGGTTGTGTTTTTTTAACCTTTTTAAAATAAGAATTGCTCTCTCTAAGCAGTGGCTGTATGTCAAAGATACTGGTAGCCAGGTATACCCCTCACTTTAACCTGGGGAGAAAAACTTTGAAGTAATGGTTCAAAATTTTTGAGGTGTGATCATGAGAATGGAGTAGAAAGAGAATTAAGCTTATAACCCCCGGCCATTTTCACTGGATTTCTGGTAGTTTCATAAAGAGTAAACAAGGACACCAAATGGAACTGACTGTTGACATGGGATTAGGACGTAGTTTAGCATACAGCAAGATAATGCACAACTGCATTCACTTAAAGTCTACTCTTCAATACCTTTGGGATTCCAAGCACACAGAATGATTCTTCTGTCATCTGGATTGGTTTTGATCATTTCAATCACTTTTTGCAACTGATCAACTCCTTGGTTGGAATAATCTGAAGAAAGATACAAGTAAGATCTAAGCCAGACAGATTCAATTCACGATGGTTTTTTTAAAGCCCCGCTCACATCCCACTGAAAAGTGATACCCAAATAACCACATCTGAAGACTTCACTGTACCTTTCAAAGTGGTTAAATTTACCAGTTGGCACCCTCCAAATGTAGCCTATTCTTGGTCTTCCCTTGGGTGCTCTAAGGCTTGTGGTATTTTTGTATATCCCCCCACCTCTTCTATGTGCTTCAAGTACCTTTAGCACACACTGAAATAGGACCATTCCTATTTAAAATACTATTCCAAGCCTGAACAACTAGACATTTTTTAAGACCAAATAAGAAGTCTGTATAAACACTATATCACAGGAAACAAAGTTGCAATACAAAAAAATTAGTTGGACAAAGCATGTTACTTTATCATTCATGATGACTTGTTACCTACCCAGGACAAAAGCTGTACTGGAATGGGCAAGATAGTACCACTTAGTCATTCATCGTATTGAAACTAATTTGCTCATTGCATCTCTGGATTAAGATACCTTTCTAGATGTTAAACTTGCATGCTACAGTGCTCCTCCTTAAAATAATCAATAAATAAATATGCCCAGACCAGTAACATGGCGTGCTGGCATTCTCTCCATGCTCAAAAGGAGAAAGTTTTTGATAGATGAGTAAACACATCCTCCTAGCACTCACAAAGTCATGTATGAAAACTAAGTTTCCATAGCAGTCAGTGCCAGAAGGGAACTTTAATCATGTATAGCACAGCATATTACATTTCACCCAATGACGCTCACAGGCTGATTTTTAGGCTCAGTACCAGTTACATAAGAAATTCACTGGAATTAACTGAACTTTAGGATGGATTCCAGAGTAAGAGAGACATTAGTTGTTACTCATTTTTCTGACTCATACCAGTGAATCAGCATCACCAGTAACTAATTTTTATTAATAACTCTTATAGCAAATCAACACCAAATTATGGTCACAGGGAGACTCAAGCTGGCAAAGAAGGTAGTAATATATAATTAGCATCTCAGGGAATTCTTCTGCCAGCAATACTGTGCCAGAAGCCTTTTCAAATTGTTACGTTAGTTCCTGAAGCTAATTACCTATCCATTAGTAATGCACTTTAAGGAAATCTATTAGTAATGAAACCTATGGGAATTTATCTTGTTCGTTTTTTCCAAGCTATGGCCTCAGACCTTTTAAGTTCAGGAGCGCTGAAATATTTCAGTAAGCTTTTAGACATGTCAGTTCACAATTTGCATTATTTGTGTCAGCATATAACTGTATTCTGCCAGCCGTCAACATGACAATACCAAGTCTAATATCTGTAACTAACATGAACTTCGAGATGAGGCTGTATTGACAAAAAAAAAAAACAAAAACACATAAGAGGGAAAAACATAATTAACCATGTTGTTATTCTGAATTAAAAATCACAGCAACCACACAGGGACAATCTTTTTTAATGACAGTCATCTAAACTTTTTGCTCTCCTTCATCCTCTCCTTTAGTGACTTACAAGAAAGCCACTGAGACACTTCAGAGTAAGTTTAATGAATAAGTTCCACTGAAAATAATACCAACAGGTACTGCATCTCATCATAATTTGTTACAGCTATTCTGTGCACAGCATCACCAGCTATGGATACACCCTATTTTGTTCCAGCTGCAGCATGGAAAAATCTTTCTCTTCATAGAATCATAGAGTCCTTTGGGTTGGAAGGGACCTTTAGAGGTCATCCAGCCCAATCTCCCCACATTGAGCAGGGACATCTTCAACTAGACCAGGTTGCTCAGAGCCCTATCCAACTTGACCTCGCATGTTTTCAGAGATGGGGCCTCCACCACCTCTCTAGGCAATCTGTTCCAGCGTTTCACCACCCTTATCGTAAAAAATGTCTTCCTTATATCCAGTCTAAATCTACCCTCTTTTAGTTTAAAGCCATTGCTCCTTGTCCTATCGCAACAAGCCCTGCTGAAAATATTTTCCCCATCTTTCTTAAAGGCCTCCTTCAGGTACTGAAAGGCTTCTATAAGGTAAGGTCTCCCTGCAGCCTTCTCTTCTCCACAGTCTCCAATGAATGTAGTGCACTAATGTCAGTTCTTGTCAGCACAACCATATCATGGAAATTAGGACCCTGCACTGGTATTCAGAGATGGCAGCCTGTGTTCCACTGCTATCAAATGGAGCTAGCTCATGTTTCTGGACTGCAAGACACACATCCTTCCATCTACCAGCGACCACACCTGCTCTAGATTAAAGTAAACCAACATATGCCTTATGATTCACCTGTTCTACAAATATCAAATTACAATATACAAAGCTACATATTTCAGGACAAGTAGATTGAGTTAAAGAAAAAAAAAAAGTTAAATTAACCCTCTCAAACACTATTTATTCTGGCTATCGGTTCCCACTGTGAACAGCCCCTTTAACAATAGTCCATTCCACCCAGATTTCTGGAAGTGGGGTGTCACAGTTGTCTCACTAAGCAATCAAGATTGTATTTGTATGTGATTACCTGTGTGCATATCTTTGTATTCTGCTCCAAAGTGCCTCCATTGGAAACCATAAACTGGTCCCAAATCCCCCTCCTCTCTGGTGCTGAAACCCTGCTTATCCAGGAACTCACGTGATCCATTAGCATCCCAAATCTTCACACCTTTTGCAGAGAGCTCTTTGGCATTTGTAGAACCCTACAAAACACAGAAGTCTACTTGACAGAGGACATGATTTGACAGAGGACATGATGTGAAACAACTATATTAAACTTTGCTAGTCCACAGTATTTCTCCACTTTTAAAGGATGAACAGTTTGCCTAATGTACCGGATGAGGTTCTTGCACACGGACAGAATAAAACTTATGAGCAACATACTAGGATGAAGTTTGAAGTGTCATGCTGCTGTTATTTAACTCCAGATTTTTCTAACTTTGTGACTGCACAAACAGTACAGCCTCCAGGTCAACTGTGGTGTATCATTTCATACATGCATTTGCAGACAACAAGAACTTACTTTACACATGGATGAAAACAGACAAACAAAAATTTACAGCCTAGGCACTGTCTTTGCCGAGCCATCTATAATGAGCTTAAGGTCTTAAAAATCCTTATGTTAAAATGACAGAAATGACAAATGATCCAGAGAAATTTGACTGAGTTCTGCAACATATCCAAATCAGCACACTCAAAAATCCATCATGGAAAGTGTTCTGTTTTGGGGAATGTCCAGTCTTTTATACTTGTGAAAAGATAGTTTAAAAATTGAATGTGTATTTGAGTCCTGCTATCTAGCAAATTGATAGACTTTCCCATACCTGCACAACGTCACAGCGTACAAAGGAACACTTACATCATAATGTATTGTCTACAGTTGAATTTTAATACTCTAACTACAGCTATTAGGTCTATTAGGTCTCAGGGTTTTGCTACTAAAAAGCCTAGTGTTTACATCTGTCTTACTTCACTTGTGGTTCCGCACTGTTTGTTTCTGTTCAAATTAATAAAAGCTATCTCAATATTAAAAAGCAGATCATTAAATTGCCTACAATCTACTTCATATTACTATCTCTTATTCAAACACTAATAAAAGAGACTGTACTAGGCTTTGTAACTGTGGGGTATAGCCAAACCAGCGAAAGCCCTCTCTATTTCAGACTACCTCCCTTAAAAAGAAACAGAAGAAAAACTCTTCTGACTGGCAACAATGCAATACTCTCCACTAAAATGTACACAGTGTCTTGAAGATAGTGGCCTTCCACGTGTAGTCAAAATATTTGGTGGTTGCACTCCTTCTGTTCTGCCGTACGAACAGAAGCATCTGCGGTTACCCCAGACTCCTTCATCCACTCCACACGAGTTCATCCTGTTGCCACAACTCTCAGGCACACCACCCACGGGGACATCCAAATGCCCAACCTTGATGAACCACAGCAGCTCCTCCAGCACTCCTTTCCAGAACACCCTCTTCGTTGTCAACAGTGGAAACTGATCTGAAAAACAGTTTCAGAGCGTCAGAGGTGATGATCAGCCATCTTTCAGGGAAAGCAGACCTAGGTTCTTCTCCACGCGGAGGGTAATGCCACCACCTGACATTCAGAGGTTTGGATATGAAGTAAGGAGTCGGGAAAGGATGTGTAATTCTCACATTCAGACCAAGGAAGACAAGAACCTGGCTTTTATTTTCCCGGACAGTGGGGGAAGATGAACTACCCGCAGGGACTTTGCTGTGAGACCACCCCAGCGCAGCGTACGGATGTATGTGTATGCATTCACAAGGGAAAGCACAGGTTTAAGATAAACGTTCTCGGCAAACCTATTTCACAAACCATCCTTCGTACTATGGCTGCGTGGTAGGAAGGACGGGGACAGGCCATCTCAAGATCTTCGCCGTTTTTTTCAGCAGGCGGCAGCGGCGGGGCCGC